ATGCCTTAACAACTGTAGTGTTGCTACATAAGCTGGATTGAAATCAATCTTAATTTCATTGTGGTTTAACTGGATAGTATCCAAAAAAACACAAAGAGTATTTTCTAATACATCAATTTTACTCTGGTTTTTAGTGTTAGTCCTTTTAGGTAGTGATCTGAGGAATTAAAACAGTTGTGAGTGAAGCTACTTTTTATAGTTTTAAAAGAAAAGATCACTTTGAGCTTCCCTCTCCCTGTTTTTATAAGTAGTGCTATCTAGTAATCTAGTTTGAATATCACTAAACTTTTCCACATTTTATAAAATTACAGATTTATTGAAAATAATTATTTCAACATTGAATTGATATAACTAAATTGTATTCTTTTAGCAATTTATAGACATATACATATATATATATATATATATTACACTGTTGATTTAGCAGGATAAGGGTTAAATATATTATTTGCTCATCAGGTTTTTTCTTTTTAGGTAATATATTCTGCAAGAGTCTTTTATTTTCTAACCCAATTATGTAATACTTGGCTACCTTCATCTTACTAAATTGCAAATTGTTGCAAGATACCAGCATGACCATTGAAACTTGTAGTTATACCAGATTTAAGAAAACCTCACCTCATTTTATAAAACAAGTTGTAATATTTGCTAATTCTACAGCTTCAAAATAGTTTGGAATTTATTCAGAACTACCCTTGTTTTTTTTTTCATTTGAGAAAATATGGTCAATACCTAGTAATTCATTGAAATTTGTAGTTATATCAGATTTAACAAAACCTCACTTCATTATATAAAACAAGTTATAATATTTGCTAATTCTACAGCTTCAAAGTAGTTTGCAATTTATTCAAAATTACCCTTTCTTTTATTTGAGAAAATATGGTCAATACCTAGTTATTATTGAACTTTCATATTCCATATTTAATACTTATCAATTTTAATTTCTTACCAACACTATCTGTAATATTGGCATTTTAAATCTATTGAAGCATGCAAATTCTTGTGTTTTCCACTTATAAATTATGTTTTCCTTTTCATTCAAAAATATTAAAAAAATTGCTGGAGCGATAGCACAGCTGTAGGGCGTTTGCCTTGCAAGTGGCCAATATGGCCGGCCCAAGGTCGATTCCTCCGCCCCTCTCAGAGAGCCTGGCAAGCTACCCAGAGTGTCTCGCCTGCATGGCAAAGCCTGGCAAGCTACCCATGACATATTCAATATGCCAAACACAGTAACAATTGTCACAATGGAAACGTTACTGGGCCTGCTGGAGCGAATCGATGAACAACGGGAGGACAGTGACTACTAATGAAAAGTGTTGTTGGACTTTTCTATGATTATAAAGAGTGTTCTTTATGAATGTGTTCAATATTTTATAAAACAAAGATAGTGAGAACTATGCTGTAGCTAAAATTAGGAAGTTGGGTTCTAGAAATGGTATATTGGGAAGTGTGCTTGCCTTGCATATCGTGGATCTGGGCTTGATCCTTGGCATACAATATGGTTGCCCAACCCCTGCAAAAATGATCCCCAACTGCAGATCCTGATGTAAGTCCTGATCACCATAGGGTGTGACCCCAAGCTCTCCCCCCAAAAAATAGAAAGCTGTTTCATATATCTAAGTCCTTGGAAATAAGTGAATTAACTGCTTATTTTTATTACATTGATAATTTGATAATTATGATATAATTATGAAATATAATACATGTAGATTTATTTTATATATATGTGAATTTGTACTTATATAAATACATGCATATGTTAAAATATTGTTTTAATTGTTTTGATGAAATAGATAGCCTATAAGCTTTTTAAAAAAAATTTTATTAGTGAAACAACATGAGATACAGTTGTAGACTTACAAATCTTTGCGCTTGGGTTTCAGTTATACAATGATCAAGTACCCATCCCTCCACCAGTGCCCATTTTCCACCACCACAGATCCCAGTATCCCTCCCACCCCCCATCTCCCACGTCTCACCCTGCTTCTGTGGCAGGGCATTCCCTTTTGTTCTCTCTCTCCTTTTGGGTGCTGTGGTTTGCAAAAGAGATAGCTTATAAACTTTTTAAAGGATTTGACTCTTTGATTTGAAGCTATTCTTCTAAAGCAGTTCAATAATTGGTTCAATAATTGACCTGTTATTTGAAATAGTTGCTATTATAGTTAGTTAATGACCTGACTCTCTGTGCATGAGATGATAGCCACATGTAATCATATCCTGACATGTCTGGTCCTGAAAAGGGAAATCTGAATTCAAGTTGGACTGGTAAGGCAAAACTTCAAGGAAGATCTGAGAAGTAATAGGGTGGCAGAAAGTAGACTAACTTGAGGAGATCCTTGACCTGGGGTGTAAATATTATCTGTAGCATAAGAAGGAAAGCAGTGAAGCATGAAAACAATACATCATAACAGTAAAAAAAGACATTGCTTAGGGTGGCATGAATTTAAGGATTATCTCTGGAGCAAGACTTTATGCTTCAACTTGATTCAAAGATGAGTTACCAAAGGATTTTCAGTAAAGGAAATGCCCTATGAGATATATTTTAGAAAGATCTACCAGGTTTGATGAGGGCAGTACAAGACTTAAGTAATTCTATGAGGAAAGGAAGGAAGAAGACCCTAATGATAGAGGGGGCAGGTCTAGTTATCAAATCCTGCCAGGGTCAAAGCATCACTCTGATACATGAATGAGTTTCCTTCTGTTCTGTAGGAGAAATACAATATGTACATTTTAAACTGTCTAGGCTTATGTCACTATTTGGATGTTATGGGTTTGTTCATCAAAAGTATAAATTAAGTGTTAATATGTTAGTTTATGAAGTTGTAATAACACTGGTGAAAACATGGAATCGTCTGGGCTTAGCAGCTAGGGTTTATTTTGCTGATATTGAATAGATTGCCCCGGCTGGAGCGATAGCACAGCAGTAGGGCGTTTGTCTTACAAGCGGCCAACATGGCCGACCCGAGTTCGATTCCTCCACCCCTGTTGGTAGAGCCTGGCAAGCTACCAAGAGTATCTTGCCCACACGGCAGAGCCTGGCAAGCTACCCATGATGTATTCGATATGCCAAACACAGTAACAACAAGTCTCATGATGGAGACGTTACTGGGCCCGCTCAAGCAAATCCATGAACAATGGGACCGTGACCATGAATAGATTGTCTAAGAAGATTTACTTAAGTGGCTTCTATTTGAGGCCAGAGAAATACTACATGAGCTCAGGTGCTTGTATGTGGCACACCTGGGTTTGTTCCCTGTTATTGCATGTTGCACTGTCAGGAGTCACCCCAAGTATAAAGCCAGGAGTAAGCCATAAGAACTTCTGGGTATGGCCTCCATTAAAAAATAAGTTTTCTGTTTGTGAGGTGACAACTAGGAGTATAAAGGTATCTGACCATAGAAATTTTGATTTTTAAATTTTCTTCCACCTAGTTACTGTGTCTCAGGTTTTTTTTTTTGTATCAAGTAGGGACCTTGGTTTAATTATAAGTAATTTCTATTTCCTTATTCTACTAATACTTATCTTAAATGTAGTATTATATTCTGCCACTTTATATAAACTGTAAACAGGAATTAATTACTTTAACCTAAAGAAAAAACATTCCTTAAGAAATAGACTGTAGTTTTCTTACTGTGGAAAGTGATCTATCAATTTGAATTTCTACGTTATCCTACTCTACTTGAAATTACCAAGTATCTTGAGGAAAAAACAAATAAGCAAACAAAATATTGCCAGAAAGTCATTTCTATAAATCACTATTACTGTTTTTTGCTTCATTTCCTGTACACCCACACTCACTGCTTAGTAACACTAGGGAAGATGGAAGATGTTACTTTAGGTCCCTCTTGGAGCTTACAAACATGTGTCTTTCCTGCTTGTTTCTGTGCCTCTTTGCTTTTTCAGCCCTGGAGAAACCCATATTCTCTCTTAATATATACTTCCTTGTTCTCCCCTAAAATATTCCTTGAGCAAATTTCAATAAGAACTATTGTTTAACCAAATTTAAAAATAGTGACTTTATTTAGTGTAGATACAGATGAAGTCTTTTTTTTTCCTGATTTTGGGTCACACTTGGCTGTGCTCAGTGCTTACTCCTGCCTGGCTCTGTGCTCAGGGAACAATATGAGGGAATCTGGGTTCAAACCTGGGCTGGCCATGAGCAAAGCAAGTGCCTGCCTCCTGTACTGTCTCTTCAGCCCCACTCATGAGATCTTTTTGTCCTATGTGCTTTAGCTGCTGTTAGGCCGTGGATATGGGTTTACTGTTGATTTTTTTCAAATCCAACATGACAGTTCAGCCAAACTTATAATGAGATGTTTAAAGGTCAATTAAATGTTAATTCATATTCAGAGACAAATTGTTGTAAATTTATTTTTAGGCCAACAATGCGAATGCAAAACAATGGTATGTTTTATAGGAAGTATGTGTATGTTTCAACCATTTGCAACAGTATTGGATTGATGTCAGTATATTTTCACTTATTGCAGATTAGATAATGCACTCTCAGCATATTCTATTATTTGTCCTGGTTGTGCAATTATATACTTGAGAATTAATCTTTATATGCTTGGGTATATTTTTTATTTCTGATGGTTAGATGAGTAATCTAGTAATGTTGAATAGATGGAATGTATGAAAGAAATGTTTAGAATATAAAATTAAAATCACACCTTGAATATTTGATTTAGAGTTGATAATTATTTAGGAATTCTTTTTATTGCTTTAGGAACTTTGACAATATTTTTTGGTATAGAGAAAAGAAGTGATAATATTGTTTGGGTGTTGAATTTTATATATTAGTGTTGCAAATTTAAAATCATTCATTATGAGCACTGATCGAATTAAAATATAAAAATATTTTATGTTTTTAATTTACATGTATTTGGCAAAAGGATTTTGAGGAATTTAATATTTTTTGGAACTTTTGTTAATTAAATTGCTATAATATTATTTTTAAATTGTTTATTATATATCACATTTTTTATTACCTTAATTGTCAGCTGACTTCCACAGTAGTGGACACATTGTTATTAATGGATGGAAAATACATAACACAGCAAAAAATAAATGGTTTGTGTGTATGGCAAAAACTCCAGAAGAAAAACATGAATGGTTTGAAGCTATCTTGAAAGAAAGAGAACGGCGAAAAGGTGGGTATATGAATTGGGAGATTTTGTACATTATGAAGATTCAATTTGAGCAAGAAAGCAGATAATAGATCAAAGTTATGCAGATGTATAAAAGATGTGTATGCATGTTCACTTGGACTTTTTGAAATGTGATGTAAGCTTCACACTCAAATACTTTTTGAATAGTTCCAATATTAGTTCATTGAAGAAAAGAGAAGTATGATATTATTGGTAAGAATTGTCTTTTTAAAATAGTTCAGAAAGCAAAGATTTTTAAGGAACATCTCAGTGTGCTATGCCTACTGTAACAGAAGACTAAAGATTGAGTGTCCTCTAAACAACAAAGATTTATTTTCACGAGTCTGAAGGGTGGGAATATTAGTGGCCACTGAGGTCATTTCTTCCTTAGACAAACAGCTTCTCACTGTCCTCACTTGGTAGAGGAGACAGAGCGCTTTCTGGGGTTTCCGTTGAAGGAACCACGGTCCTATCACAAGGCTCCCCACTCTTTACCTAGAAGTGCCACCTCCCCACACCACCATTAGCTCTCCACATATGGATTTTGGGGTCAAGAAGTAGTTCAGACTATACCAAAGAGTTTTTGCTTGCTTTAACATATTTTTGAATTCTATGATACAACATTATTACCATATTTACAATATTATCACAGTTTTCTTTAACAAAGACAAACCTTTCAGAATCAGAGAAAAGGAGAGTTCATTAGACTGATCACATGCTTTGCACATGGGAAGCCTGGATTGAACGCTGTATGTTTTCCTGAGCACTGTGGGGTGAGGGGGCAGTAACCTTCAGGCATGGAGTCTGGAGTGATCCCCAGAGCACTTCTCAGTGTGGCCCCCAAAACGAGCTTCTTCTTTCCTCAAAAGAAAAGTTTGTGTAATGCAGAGTTGTAGGTAGTCTAACCATATTCTGAAAATTTCTAGACCAAATCTGTAATTAGCATCTGAATTATAGATGGAAATACTTCAGATATATATTAACTTCCCTGACTGGGAATCGAACCCGGGCCATGGCAGTGAAAACAGTAAATCCTACCCACTAGACCACCGGGCTGGAGCGATAGCACAGCTGACCTGGCCTACCCATGTTCGATTCCTTCGCCCCTCTCGGAGAGCCGGGCAAGCTACTGAGAGTATCTTACCTGAACAGCAAAGCCTGGCAAGCTACCCATGACGTATTCAATTTGCCAAACACAGGAACAACATGTTAGTTTCACAATGAAGATATTACTGGGCCCGCTCGAGCAAATCGATGAACAACAGAAGGACAGTGCTATGGACAGTGCTACAGTGCTATATATTAACTTACAAAAATCCATAGAATGTTATAATGAATATAGTGTAATAAAACCTGACAAGGGGTGACTCACATGAGGAGTTCTAGTTGAAATTTGCTTCATGTTTTAAGAAATATTTTTAAAATATTAATATTTTAAAATCTTAAAAGCTATTTGATCTGACAAAGTTTTAATTGCATGAAGTATATCTGCAACTATAGTTATTTCTGCATTTCACTTAAGAAGTAAAAATGCTTGATAGCTACACATTCCTTTATCAGTTACAGAGAAAAGCATTTATTTTTTCCCATAAATATCTAGAAATAAAGAAAACATCTTATTGTTGATGAAATCAAGGAATGTTAAAGAGCCTCTCTCTTAATTTCAGATATTTTCCCTTAAAGAATGTATAAAATCTGTAAGTTGATTAAAATATTCACAGAACATATTTAATAAGAATTCTGAAACATTTTAAGTAGTTTGTTAGTTGAACTTCAATGAAATACCAGAGAGAAAATTTTAAAACAAAGATTATGAATATATGACAAAATTTTTCTGGACCTAGCAGTCAGCTTAAATAGCATGGTGAATTGTTAAAAGGCAAGCAGAATTTTTCTTCAAGTTGGCTGAAGAACTTGATTTTCTTTTTGAGATAGTTTTGTTTATAAAGACAAAGAAAAATGGAAAGACCAAAAACAATGGAAGGAAGGAAAGAGCGAGAGAGGAAGGAAAGAAGATTCGACGTTTATGTTAACAGGCTGTTCTCCATGTATTCACTCTATTGATGACAATAGAGTGGATTTTTAAGAACAAGTTTTATAAATAAAACATTAAAAAGAATTCAGTTACTTTTTTTCTGATCAGATCCTCTTCTGATCAGAGATTTCAAAGATTTTAACTTAGGTACCAAACTCTAATCTTGGTTTCCAGCTTGGTTTCTATTCTCACAGATTCACTTTCACTTCTGTGCTACTCTTTTCTGCATCTTCATATCTAGGCTGATTCTCCTTTCTCCCGATCCTCACACTCTTGAATTCAGTTCATCTCTGAACTTTGGACGCTCCTTGAACATAGAAACACAGTCAGCTCAGTGGTGACTTCTGCCAGTCTCAACCCTGTCCTCAGCAGTTTTCTCCTAAGCCTCCTCTGAGGCCTCTTCATCCATCCACCCTGATCTTCTTTCTCTTCTATATGCTTAAGTTTAATTCACCCCCTCATATATTTCTGAACTTCATATTTTTTGGCAGTTCTTTTTTTTAAATTTTTTTATTGAATCACCTGAGAGGCTTCCACAGCTGTTCATGATTGGATTTCAGTCCTAAAGTATTCCAACACCCATTCCTCCACCAGTGTACATTTCACAGCACCAGTGTCCCCAGGTTCCCTCTCATCACCCCTCACCCCTCACCCACTGCCTGCCTCTGTGGCAGGCACGTTTCTTTTCTCTGTCTCTCTCTCTCTGTCTCTCTCTGTTGCTCTGTCTCTGTCTCTCTGTCTCTGTCTCTGTCTCTCTCTCTGTCTCTCTCTCTCCTTTTGAGCATTGTGTTTGCAATATTGATACTGAAAGGTTATCAAGAATATCCCTTACCTACTATTAACCCTCAGCTCTTGTCCAGCATGATCATTCCCAGCTATTGTCACAGCTGTCTCTTCTCTATCTTATCTATCCTTACTTTGGACAACCTGGCAGGCTACCAAATGTAACCTGCCCACATGGCAGAGTCTGGAAAACTCCCCGTGGTGTACCCAATATGCCAAATACCAGTAACAATGATGGGTCTCATTCTCCTAACCCTGAAAGAGCCTCGAATATGACACTTTTTAAAATATCAGGGCTAGGGCGAAGGAGATGTTACTGGTGCCTGCTTGAGGCAATTGACGAACAACAGGATGATCGTGATCGTGATCGTGATCTATCCTCTATCCTCAGTCCTACACACACTTGTGGTTAGTTCCAACCATTGATCAGTCCTCCTAACCCCTGTTTTCTCTGGTCATGGATATTATTCTTCTAATATATATATCATAATACAATATTATATATAGTCTTCTTATATATATATAGGTTTTTTATATCATATATATAGGGTTTTTTTTTTTTTGGTAGTTCTTGCCATGGTTTTCAAGGGGATGAAGTTTTGGTGTTAACTCTTTACAATCTAATTCTTTAAAAAGTGATGACCTTTTAGTTTGCTGCAGGGTCCTTGGAGCTTTATTTTCAGAGCAGCAAAACTTCCTTTTTGCTCTAACCTGCCTCTCCCCTCTCTCCAGATAAAGCTGTAATAGTCACCAAAATCTAGGGCAAACATGTGTGGAACGTGGAGGTAGAGAACCCCACCTCACCCACTAGCGTTTCCCCTGAGTCCTGCTGCTTCGCCTGTAACCCAGGGCTCTGCCTGTCGGGTGCCTCACCAATTCTGCTATTGTGGGACTTTATCATTTCTTGAAAATCCTCCTCAGGGCTGAGCACATAGGCATCATTCTGTGAAATCTTTCTCAGATGAGGTGACGTACTCAGAATGAGCCTCTCCTGTGTCATTGTTTCCTCCGTGGCTATCCCCAGTGTTCTCAGGCCTAGCTATACCCATCTGCAAAAGGCGCCTCAGGAGCTGAGATAGAATGCTTGTTCCTTCACTGACCCAAATCATGTACCTTTGAGGCAGAGTTTTCTCAGAGGTGCCATCTGGTTCCTGAATTCTTCTAGAAGCTCACACGTGAGCTTCTGAAAAGTCAGGGTAGAGCACTGTATCCACAGCTCCCAACACAGGTAGAGAAGCAGTAAATGTTTGTTTTAAAGAAGACCTGAGTGAATGAAGAGGCTTTAACTGTTGGTTCTTTTGTTTGATTTTTGGGAAGTTTAAAGTTAGGAATGGAATTACCTATTCTCTGTTTGATTTTTGTCAGGTTTAAAGTTAGGAATGGAGCAAGACACCTGGGTAATGATTTCTGAACAAGGTGAAAAACTTTATAAATTGATGTGCAAACAAGGAAATCTCATCAAAGACAGAAAAAGAAAACTGACTACATTCCCGAAATGTTTCCTTGGAAGGTAGGATTGGGAGTGTGGGGTCTGTTGTATATGCATTTCTTTCATGTTTTCACTATCATTTGTTTAATTGTTGGCTTTTAAAAAATGTTCCTATGGGAAGATGACAACGATTTGGCTTATAAAAGTGAGATACTGGGTTGTGGGGGAAGGGTGTGTGGTGGGAGAATGAAGAGATGGTCTAGAAATGACATAAGGTCACTGGTGGGCAGTCTTGGGTACGGTGGTGGCAGTGGAGGTAGCTTTATACTTCACCCATTAGTATTAGCATTGCTGTAACTGTGTTGCCTAAACTAAAATCATTAAAAAATTAAAGTTGAAGTAGGAAAGGAAGTTTTATCTGTTGGCCTTCCAGATTTACTCTCCATTTCTCCTGGTTCTGGGCTGGAGTGGTAGCACAGCGGTAGGGCATTTGCCTTGCACGCAGCCAGCCCGGCTGAGCCGGGTTCAATTCCTCTGCCCCTTCTCGGAGAGCCCGGCAAGCTACCGAGAGTATCTCGCCTGCACGGCAGAGCCTGGCAAGCTACCCGTGATGTATTCGATATGCCAAAACACAGTAACAACAAAGTCTCCAATGGAGACGTTACTGGGCCCGCTTGAGCAAATCGAAGAACAACGGGAGGACAGTGGTTTTTTTTTTTTATTATTTTATAGTATATCTATGAGCCCTGGCCCCCACTTGAAACTTTATTTTGCCAAAGATCTATACCACAGGTGAGCCCTGCCAGAAACATTTCAGATCCATTGTATGGTAGATTTTGAATGAACTTTTGATTGTTGTGTATTCAGAATCCTTTACCATTTCCCAGTATTTGGGGTGGGGGGTGCACAGTGGAAGGGTTAGAGTCTCCCTTGGCAGTGCTGAGGGCTTAGTCCTGGTTCTGTGCTCAGAGATCATTCCTGATAGTCTCTGGGCACCATAATTCCTAATTTAATTAGGAATTAAACCAGGGTCGACTGCATGGAGGGCAAAGGCCTTGCCCCCCGTGCTGTTTCTCAGGCACTCTGATTTAGTTACATGATCCGATATGGGGTTATAACCTATAGGGTAGCATGCTTGGAGGTAGAGAATCATTCTTTCTGCATGATGACAAGAGGGTTTTTATATAGGAAGGGACCTGAAGCAGCCTGGCTATGGCTGGGTGCCAGAATGGTTAACGAATTCTTCTGTAAGCTGGTCCTCCAATGAATCTGGAGATCTAAACAAAGATTTCTGACGAGTGGCTCAGCCTGCACTTCATCATCTTTGTAATGGGGGAAGAACAAAATAAGAGAAATAGTCTCTTGATTCTCAGCAGTTCCTGCCTGCCCAAAAGTGTTTGCTGATTTTGATTTTTGTGGGCTTCTTTTTGTGAGAGGTGAATAGTAGGTATGAGGATGTCCCCAGAGAAGCTCTGAGACTATTCCTGCTTCTGAGCTCAGGAGTGGCAGGATGTAAAATCAAGCACTTTAAGCTCTGTTCTGTCTCTCTGACCTTTAACTTGTAATGCTTGACTCCTGCTCTTAATTTCATTGGAGTCAATTTCCACAGGGTTGATGAGAGAATTGAACAGAAAATTCATGTCCTAAGAGCAAAATAGAACTTGGGATCTGGGGAAGGTAGGCAGAAGGTCTTGTGGAAGGGAGAGTCTGACAAAGATCTCCGTGCTGGACCTGAAAGCCCAGAAAAACTAGAGCTCTGAACAGCTGAGATCTAAGCTGTCAATTATAATTTTGCTAGCAGTGTGGGGAATGACGAGTCTTAAAAAAGTGAGATGGTGAGGGGTCAGAGACAGAGACATAAGCAAGGCCTGGGTTGCTAGTATAGAGCAGATTCCCAGGTGTACTTTGTTTTCTGTAGACTGTTGTGCAGCTAGGGCTGGAGCGATGCACAGTGGGTAGGGCATTTGCCTTGCACGTGGCTGACCTGGGTTCAATTCCTCTGTCCCGCTCGGAGACCCCAGCAAGCTACCAAGAGTATCCCACCCGCACGGCAGAGCCTGGCAAGCTACCCGTGGCCTATTCGATATGCCAAACACAGTAACAAGTCTCACAATGGACTATTGGAGACATTACTGGTGCCCGCTCGAGGAACTCAATGAGCAATGGGACGATAGTGCTACAGTGCTAAAGTTGTACAGTTAGGGCTGGAGCATGTGAAGTTTGCTGGTTTGTGCTGAGGAGTACCTGAGGGAAGGGAACTGCCTTTAGGTAGCTCTACCTAGGCCAGGCTTTCTCTTTCGGCCATCTTTCTTCTTTCTGACATTTATTTCTAATCCTCAAACACTTAGGAGTTAAAAACCTTTATATTGAGGAACAGCAGAATTTAACATGCTCGAGTCTATAGAACTAGTAAAAGTCAATATAAAATCAATAAAAGTAGCGGGTGTTGTTGTTCGGAGTCTAGACTTCACCATTGAACTGTCGCCTTGCATCTCTAGTCCTGCTGCGGGGTACTGGAGAGATTCGAGGGAGCTAACTTTCCCTTTCTGCTCTCCCAGCCAGGGCGAAGGGGGGCTTATCAGTCTCAGCTCCCTTATGTTCTTAGCCCTGCAGTCTTAGCTCTCTGGAGCTCTAGCTCACAGCTACTCTCCACCCGTTTAGGAAAATTTTGGCCAGGAAACCATCATGTTTGCACACTTTGGAGTCTCTTCTTGACTGTGGTATGGTGATCCTCATTGTGGGCCACACACCTGACTGCGAGCTAGTTTTGCCAGGTTCCCAGTTTCCCAGGGGGCAGCTGTTGTGCAGAGAAAGCAGTTGGGAACTTAGAAGTCCCGTGTTGTGACATAGACACTATTTCTTCCAACACCGTTTGTACAAGTTTGGTTTTTATTTATTCATTTATTTATTTAGTATTTTCTTAAGTAGGATATGTCTCCTTACTCTACTTACTGGAGAGTCACTTCAAGCGATGTATGACTCTTTACCAGTTTAATATATATTTGCCATGTAGTCACCAGAAGTCCTTTTTGCAGTGAGCAAATATTTTCACAAAGTTTGCTAAGTCTTCATGATACAGAAGATACCTTACCTTCATCAGATTTCTAGGGGAACAGAACTAGAAATTAACTCAAGGCCAGTTTATTTCCTTTTGAAGGAAGAGTGGTTTTGTTACTCCTCAGGTGTTTGCAGTGCTAAGTTGCAGTGATATGTAAAGCAGACCCTGAGCGTCTGATGCAGGAGTGCCTCCAGAATGCGGGCTATGTTAGTGTGGCCTTTTCAACCCCACCACTGCGTTATAGACTCTGATATCATTTCTCTCTGGATCAAGATTCTTTTTCAGTTTTGATAGGATCTTCTCATGACTTGAGTGGATACCAAAACCAAGTCTATAGCAAAGGTGCCCTACTGAGTCTATTCCTTACTTTCCTTTCCTACCCCGCTCTACCTCAGCCGATACTCTTAATTCACAATAGTATTGAAAATGTGCTGGTAGGATCTCTCTTTCCAAAAAGGCTCAAGAGGCTTTTTCTAGGCTGCTCAGAATAGGCATTTTTAAGTACAGATCACCTTGGTATATGAAATGAAGGTCAACTGAGGTTCTGTGAACTCTGAGAAACTTTCACCTTGACTTAAAGCATACAAATATACAAGATTTAGGGACAACTCCAGAAAAAAGCTTTTTATAAAGGAAACCTTTCTTAAGGCAAGGTTTTATCATATGAGTCATCCCATCCTTGCTGGGTGAAAAGTCCTCCTGTTTTGTAATTACCCCTTCTTTTACTATAACCCCCCACCCCATTTTTCTTAGAATTCACCACCACAGACATTTTCTGTATAAGGATTACTAAATAATGTGATATGTGATATGACTTGCTTTGTTTTTCCAGCCTCAGAAGAAGTCACAGTAACAGGGAATGTTCCCCCGTGTCCTGACATGCTCTTTCCCTCATGTCAGTTGACACCATCAGGAATCTACTGACCTCAGAACAGAGAATTAGGCCCTGTCCATATGCTACCCATTTGAATCCAGTTGTCACTTAACAAGCACTCACAGTATACTGGGCACTGTGCTGAATTCCTGACTTTTATCAGCTCATTTAATCCTGGGTCAGCATTATGAGGTTGGTATTATTTCTATGTTATTGAGAAAGCATCCGAGGTTCAGAGAGCTACATTTGGTAATCCAACTCCAACACAGCTGATAGAAACAGAAATAGGGTTTGAATCCAAGTTATCTCATTGTAAAGCATAATGATCTTAACCTTTATATTTTCCTTTATTTTCTTTCTTCTAGGTAGTTCCTATTTAATTTAACAATAAACATTCTCCTAACAACTCTTTCTTCCTTAGAAATGTCCTTTTTACACTATATTTCCTGTTTTAGAATATCATGGTCATTGGTTATTTGACCACATGGGTAGCTTTGGGTTTTGAAGTTAATGGAAAAGTAATTCCTGTACTTTCTATGACTTTGCTTCTCTGCTGCTCCATAAGAACAAAACCGTTTTTTCAAGGTGTATACATTGCTTTAAATAAAAGTTTTTAAAGTTAGATTTAAAAAAGTTGTCATTTCATCTAGTTTTTTTTTAAATTTAAAAACGTTTATTTTGTGATTTACAAAGTTTTAAATAGAATGTATTTGACATTCAGTGTCTCCTCTCCAAACCCAATTCATGTCTGAGTGTCTCTATCACTGACCAAGACCCTTCCTCTCCTGCCTTCCTAGAAAATCAATTAAAAAATATATTAGAGTTTGATTCATATGGTTATAGTACTGTTGTCTTCTTCTGGTTTTGATGTACATAGTTACCTCACCTTGAACCACCAAAATTGCCAAGACCTTTGACCAGTGTCCTGTTTTCACCAGTTTCCCTCCTCATTTCCTACCTGTTTTCCTTATCCCCCTCTCCCCTCGCACTTTTGCTGGCATTTATTCTCATTTCTATAATCCAAGGCCAAGGGTTTGCCATCATTTGATAAAGTAACAAGGCAAGAGACTAGAAAAGGTAGATTTTTGTGTAGTATGCCTATGACAACGAATTTTATTGTTAAAAAAGTTCTGTATTTAGTGTTCTCTAAATGATTGATCTTAATCATCAATCTAAAAAAATGCTGCAAGTGCTAAGTGTTGTAAGACAGGAAGTCTTGGAGGATTGAGAGATGGCTCAGTGGGCAGAGCACATTCTTTGCATGCAGAAGGCCTGTGTTTGTGTTCACTGGAGAACTGAACACAGAGATGGTAAAAAGCCCCTGAGCACTATCAGGTGATGTAACTCAAAAAAACGATCTGGGATTCGTGGTGGTGGGAAATGGGCACTGGTGGAGGGATGGGTATTTGATCATTGTATGGTTGAGACCCAAGCACAAAATTTGTGGGTCTACAGCTGTACCTCATGGTGTATCACTAGTAAAAATTAAAATAAATAAATAAATGTTATTAAAAGCCAAAAAATATCATCTTTATGTATGATGCCTGAGATGCTGAGATGTGAGCTGGAAACCTTTGGCCTTTCAATCAAAGAGATATAAATGTTCGAAACAGTACTGTTTGGGTACAGTAATTCTTTGGGATGCCAGTTAGATATAGCAATGAATTAATCCAAGATGTGATATTTTAAAAAAGTGTAGTATTTTTAAATGTCTTTTGTGTGGTTTAATTTCCCATTGCTGTAAAAGTACTTCCCACACACTTTGTGGCTTAAAACAACACCCTCTGCAGTTTGTCATTCACTAAGTCAGGAGTCCAGGGAGACAGTCTTTTATTTTTTTATTATTTATTTATTTATTTATTTATTGCTTTTTGGGTCATGCCTGGCGATGCTCAGGGGTTACTCCTGACTCTGCACTCAGGACTTATTCTTGGCGGTGCTCGGGGGACCATATGGGATGCTGGGAATCGAACCTGGGTCAGACTTGTGGAAGGCAAACACTCTACCCGCTGTGCTATCACTTCAGCCCCACACATTTGCTTTTTTACATACGTGTAGAAACCTTATAAAGAAATTTGTGCTAAAAATGTCCCTTTATCACTCTTAGATGTCCAAATAAGATGTACAGTTTTGGTTATTATGAATATATCAACACAGCTTTCCTAGGAGAGGAACCAATTTAAATAACTGTGGACCAATCATATGTGAAAAAAGTTTAGATATTCTGCTCTATATTGAGATTCCTTACACAGCTACCTGATGAATTCATGGCACTGAGAGGTTTCGTGGGATAGAATTAGCACTGTTTTTCTTTTGCAGTGAATTTGTGTCCTGGTTGCTGGAAATTGGGGAAATCCACAGGCCTGAGGAAGGTGTACACTTGGGTCAAGCATTGCTGGAAAATGGAATCATCCATCATGGTATATACTTTATTAATTATGTCTCTAATTCATCCACAAGCTGCATATTTCTTAATTTTATTGATCAGTTTATAATGATTCTACACACTACAGAATGCTTCTGTTTTATTCAAGATCATTTTGGAGCTGAGCTTAGGATGGTATATTAATGTTGATATGAACAAACTGCAGGGGTTGGGCTATTGCTCAGGGGTAGAGCACGCTCCTTGCATATGTAAAACACTTGATTCCCAGCTTGATCCCTACCTTCCCCACCACCACACACATATACACACTCAAATGAGTGACTAAAACATAGGTGGCATTAGAATAGGTAAGTGCTGTAGATTATGGAGGAAGCAGTGTCGTATTCTATCCAGAATATTTGAGAATGTTCTGTAAGGGAAATGGAATTAACCTTGGTATTGTAGACTAAATATAAGGTTAACAAGAACAGAAGTCAGAAGAACAATTCACCCTATAGGTATGATAACACTCTGTCATGGGAGTGGACAGACTAAAAGTGATTTCTGGCATATCTGGCACAGAGACTTGTGTAGCAGATAGAGCACTTCATGCATGATATAGCAGGGAGGTGCACAGTGTGGTGAAATAGGCACTGTCATAGATATTGGTTCCAAAGGATCAGAGAAACTGATCAATGTCATAACAAAGGAATAACCAGAACTTGGTTGTAGAGCTTTTGACTCCAGCATTGTTGCATGTGGAGTGGAGAGATTACAAGTTACAGAGAGTGGTGGATCATGAGGCCGGCACCTTCTCCTTGAGGAAAAGGAGGAGGGCAGCGTCCATCATGGCTACAAGAGTGGCCAATTTAATGAGATTTTGGAGACCCTGAAACAGCAATTTGTTACCCATAAAGTAATAAGAGCAAGAGGAGATGATTCAGAAATTTCTATCGAGATAAAATAGTTGACTCGGGGGGGTATGGTGCCGCCAGCAGGTCAATCTGTACCTGTGAGTTGAGTGCATCAGCACCCTGATGGCGCATTCAGGCTTCCAGATACCCCAAAATTGCTGCTGTGTCTTTGGCCAGACCGCAAAGACTTGGGGCAAATTTTACCAAGAAAGTAAACGGTCCAAAGTTAGGTATGTGGGAGACACACCCACAAACCACCTCCAGCTCAGCTATATAACTAGAGGCATGGCCTCTCTATTTCCTGATCGAACTGCTTAATGGCCATGATCCCAGAGACTCAGAAACAAATCTTGAAACCCAACAACTCTTGGCAGAAATGTTTCTGATCCCTGTAGTAGGTTACTGGCGCCAGGCCAACCCAGGTGGGAATAGGTTTTGTGCCTTGGCCTGTTCCCCATGGCGACCCGGTGGCCACCATCTTCTAGAGGCCACTGGACAGTCAGGTTTGGGCCTGCAGTGACGAGACATGCAGGGCCTCACGGGATGGGGGTGGAACTGGTCCTGTCCTCCCCGTTCCAACGAGACCCCGAGTCGTCACCCATGAATAGCCTCTCTGGCTCCTGATCAAGCTGCTTAATGGCCATGATCCCAGAGACTCAGAAACAAATCTCGAAACCCAGCGACTTTTGGCAGAAATGCATCCAGACCCCTGTAGCACTGTTCTCCTGTTGTTTGTTGATTTGCTCAAGAGGGCACCAGTAACATCTCCATTGTGAGACTTGTTGTTACTGTTTTTGGCAAATTGTATACCCATAGGGAGCTTACCAGGCTCTGCTATATGGGCGGGATACTCTCGGTATCTTGTGGGTTCTCTGACAGGGATGGAGGAATCGAATACAGGTTGGCCGCATGCTCTCCAGTTGGAGAGATAAAACAACAGGTAGGGCGTTTGCATTGCACTCGTCCAAGTTGGGTTTGATTCCCAACATCCTATATGGTACCCGAGCACTGCCAGGAGTAATTCCTGAGTTGCAGAGCCAGGAGTAACCCCTCTGTATCTCTGGGTGTGGCTCAAAAAGAAAACAAAGAAAATCCCTTATCTATAAATTAATTATATTAATGAAAGTAATCAGTATATAGAGATATATGTATAATCAAAACTTACAGTCCTATCAGCATATAATAATCAAAACAGTAACAAAATTTGTATCATCAAATGAAATTTTTGAGAGTTGTCAATTTGAGTGAGTTTAAAACTTTATTAATGACAAATGGAATAATTTTCTTAAGTTTAACAAACATGGATGTTACCAGTTAAAATTTACCTGAATGTTACTAGATGATTTTTTAAAATAATCTATGTGCAACTTTTCTGTTTCTCTAGAAATATTTAGTATATTCTAAAATGAGCTAAGCTGAGTTTGTCTTATAACATTTTCTCTTTTTGACTCTGGGGTGTTTGTTCTAGAAGTACATTATAGAAAAGTATGGTTTTATTCTCCCCCATCTTTATTTTTTGTTTTGTTTTGTTTTTAAACTTCTCAGTTGTCACCTCTGCAGGACACTTCCTGAGATGTTTGACCTGGTGATGCAGGCTTGACAGTTTAATGCTGGGGCCTTGGGAATGAATTTAGAATTTCAAGTAGATCTGAAATGTGCTCTGGCCCTTTGGGTTATCTCCCCAGCCGTAAGGGAACGTTTATTCCCAGAGCTGCCAAGGGTCCAGATGTAGGAAGAGGAAATTCTTTCAAGACCTAGATTACTTTTGAATCATCCTCTTACTCCTTCTTTTATAGTTTATATTTATTTGGTTATTGTGCAACATTCAGATGTACTCAGGGCCAACCTCTGTCTCTGTATTCAGGAATCACTTCTGGTGAGACTCAGGGGACAATATAGGGCATCAGGGATCAATCCCAGGTTGGTGGCATGCAAGGCAAGTGCCTTACTAGCAGTACTATCTCTATGTCCCCTCATTTTTTTATATTTTAGTAAATGTGTTCTTCATACAACATAAGGTATAGTGTTTATTTCTATAGTAAATTGGGTTCTTGAAATTGAAGTCATGAAGAATGAAATTTTTACTTACTTTATAATAAGACGATGATTATTATTTTGTTTAAAGGCAAAGGCCCAGGTAAATACATGTAAATCCATTGTAAGTTAGGACAGTCTATAGCTGGAATAGAATTTATTCTGTCTATTCATGAGCATAGTCTTCTAGAGACTCATCTAGTTTCTAACTTCCAATCAAAAAGGTGCAGAGATAGGGCGCCAACTCTGTTTATTCTGTTCAAATGTTTCTCACCATATTTTTTTTAAAAAATTTATTAGTGAGGCACCATGAGGTACAGTTGTAGACTTACAAATTTTGTGCTTGGGTTTCAATTATACAATGATCAACTACCCATCCCTCCACCAGTGCCCATTTCCCACCACCACGGATCCCAGTATCCCTCCCACCCCCCGTTCCCCTCATCCCACCCTGCCTCTGTGGCAGGACATTCCCCTCTGTTCTCTCTCTCCTTTTGGATGTTGTGGTTTGCAAAAGAGGCATTGAGTGGCAATCATGTTTGGTCTGTAGTCTACTTTCAGCATGCTTCTCCCATTCTGGGGGGATCCTCCCAACACCCTTTATTTGGTACTCCCTTCTCTATCTGAGCTGCCTTTTCCCCTAGCATGTGTGGGTGGCTGGCCTCCAAGCCATGGGCCAAAATTCCTGGTACTAATCTCGGCCATTCTTGGGTGTTAGTCTCCTATTTTGTTACTTTATGTTCCCCAGATGAATGCAATCTTTCTATGTCTGTCCCTCTCTTTCTGACTCATTTCGCTTAACATGATACTTTCCATGTAGTACCACTTGTATATAAATTTCATGACTTCATTAATTGCCTCCTTATACAAGAGAGGAGATAACCTGAGATCCGTATTTCTGAAATGTATCAGAATAGGAGCATTTCAGTTCTGATCTCTTATTTCCATTACTTTAGACAGCGCTTTTCTCTAACAATAGAATTTTGAAAAGCAGTAGATGAATTCTGTATTGAAATTTATGGCTGGAGCGATAGCACAGCGGGTAGGGCGTTTGCCTTACAAGCAGCCAACATGGCCGACCCGAGTTCTATTCCTCCGCCCCTCTCGGAGAGCCCGGCAAGCTACCGAGAGTATTCGATATGCCAGACACAGTAACAACAAAGTCTCCAATGGAGACGTTACTGGGCCCGCTCGAGCAAATCGACGATCAACGGGAGGGCCTTTACCTTTACCTTTACCTTAAAAAATATTAGTATCACTGAGCATCTAATTTGGGAGAATGTGCATCATTCTAAACAGGTATTACCATCTTTCTGTTTGATGCAACTTAATTTTAGTAGATTGTACCATAATTGTTACTAGGTTTACATATAATGCTACCCTTATAACTAGAAATGCATATTTTAAGTGGCTGAAATGAACTGATTACAGATTTCTCCAGTTTGGGGGTTAAGAGAACATATTATGCAAGTTCAAATTAATAATTTTGTTAGAATGTAGAAATATGTGCCAAACATATTTGTTTCATTACTATGTGACTGAAGAAGCATTTTAATAAAAATAGAAATTCTAAAATAAAGTTGAATGAACCATCTGCTTTAAAGAGAGCAATAAAAAAAGGTTCAGTACTATTGCTGTTATTCATATGACAAATGTTGAGAATTTTAGAAGAGAAAACTTTGCTATATTTACTGTACCAGGAATCCTTGAGTGGAGAAAACTATATATTGATAATACTTATTTTGTTTAACTCCACTCTTTGTATTGTAAATATTTATGTGAGAATTCAGAGATCTCATTGTGATAGCATTGGTATGCTTAAGATGACTTGTATAAGTTCAAAAGAGTTTATATTTAAATTATTAAAAGTTTTGCAAGTTGATCCTTAAACACAGCTATTATTAAAATTCAATTATGGAAATTTATAAGCTCATAAATTATATTGTGAACACTGGTGCAGTCTTAAAACTTATCCCTTTCTAATTATTTTACTATGTTTTATTACTGTCTATGCTTTAGTATTATTTGTATCTATTATTTCTATTGATCAAAATACAAAATAATGCATTTCCCTGTGTTTCAAGAGTATTGTTTCTAATAGTCTGAAATTAGTCTTTGTGGAGTTATTTATGCCATGGGAGTTGGCAAAGGCTGTAGATAAATCTCTTACCCAAATCACCTAGAGAACCAGTTGCTAACCAAAATTTTTCAGTACATCTTTAATTGGATCACATAAGTATTTAAAAGTTTATACTTTAATAAGTTGAGTGGAGTGATTGTTGGTATTTGTGACTGCATCTCAATAGGGTGCCCAGTCTATTGCTGCTCAAGGTCACTAGAACTGCACCACAGCCACTGTGGCTTGTCCTTGATGCCATCAGTCTTACAGGCACTCATCACAAATTCCCAGCAGTCCCTCAGGACCACACAAACTCAGAGTCACAGTCACTGCTTGGAATGTGTTATCAGGTGCGCCTGATTCCCATGGGCCTGGCCAAACTAGGACTATCAGTCCCAGTTCTTTTGTCAATTTACCACAATAAAGCCAATCAGATTAGTGCCTTTGACCTCCCTCTGGTGGGGGTAGGTCGAAGAGAGTGAGATGAACAAACACAGACGGAGACAAACAGTCAAGGACTGTCCAAACTTTGGGGTCGCTGAGGAAGCCATGTGTGAGTTCACAGGATGGCTATTCAACACAATATTGCTCCCTCACCCTGATGCCCAACATAGAGGCCTTTGTTTAAGTTGATGGAGACATTGAGGACAATTAGTAAGCACATCAAAATTCAGTGGGTACAATAAGATTTGGAGACAACCCAGATGTCTAATGAGAGATGAGTGGATAAAGAAGTCATAGTATATGTTCAATGGGGTAATATTGTTTATTTTGTTTGTTTTGTTTTGGGCCCATACCTTGTGGTGCTCAGGGCTTACTCCCAGTTCTGTGTTAGGGGACCAGATGGGATGCTGGGGATTGAACCATTTCAGCTTCCTGAAAGGCAAGCGCCTTACCCACTGTACTATTGCTTCAACCCTCAATGGAATACTCTTAAGAAAAGATAAAATTTTACCTTTTGATACAACACAGATGGAACTGGAGGGGCTCATGCTTAGTGAAATAATTCAGAAGGGGAAATACAAATAATAATCTCACAGGGGTGGGGGCAGCTAAAAAACCAAAACATAACAGACTGAGAGATGGACTAACCTTAATGGACTGAGCATGTGTTTTGTATGCAAGGTGCCTGGGTTTGATTCCTGGTGCTAGTGGTCCTTCTAGTATCACCAGGAGTCCTGAGCATCTCTGGGTATAGCCCCAGACCAAAGAACAACTAAAATATCTGCTCAAACAAACCATTACCCCATAGGTTCCCAAATTAACGGTCTCTTTGCAGAAAAATAGTATCCCTGAAATTCTACCTTCTTTAAGAAAAAAATCAGAAAATACCTCCTGGATCTTTCCAGAGTCCTCTGGTGGTAGTGGTATCAGCCACTTAGGAAATACTACTTTAGACACCTATCCCAGGATTGAATTTACTTGGATGCATCGAGGGGACTAAAAGGCTAAAAGGGTCCCTTGGACTATGGTGGAGGGAGATTCGCAGTTTTGTTGTGGTAAAGTCAAATGTACTCTAAAGGCAAATGAGTACTTATAGCATTGTTACTGCTATGAAAATAAATTCTAGAAAAAAGATAGTGTGAAACAGTGTAGTCACAATTTGACTTTAATCAAGCTGGTTTGGAAAAACAAACCCTGTTTTCTGTGGAATGAAGTTGAGGGAATAGATCTGGAAGTGGAATTGTTTGGTTTTTATCTGAATCAATATTGAGTCTCACGCTAACCCAAGACAAATTATCAGTGTTCTAAGAGTTTTCTTTTCAGAGATGCACTGCACTTTGTGTAGGTTAATACACCACTGATAGTGGGAGACACAACATGTTTTGAAATATTAAGATAAGAATTCATTTCAGTGAATCTTAAGGAATGAAAATGGGGGTTACGTGATTATATAGGAAAAAGAAATAGATCATTTTGAAACATGTCATGGCATTTCAGAATCTTTGCCTGATTTGGTCTTTCACTGTTTTTTTCTGGTTTGGCTTTAAACAAGGGAGCAAATGCCTAAACCCGTATTGTTTATCTTTTTTGTGCAGCAATCCTGTCTCAATGTTTTGGCCAATCCATTAACATGGTTTGGTTAGATTGTGATAAAATAGCAGAATTTTTACATACTTGTATGTGTACATGTGCTATATTTGTGTATTAAAATGGGGTGGGGGCATTGCAGAGAAAGAATACGAGGTTTAAAGTACACATTTTGCATGCAGCTGGCCTCAGTTAGATCCCTGGCAGCACATGGATGCCCAAGCACTGCTGGTTGTGATCCCAGAGGCCAACTAGGAGCACTAGGTTAGCCTGGGGAATCCCCAGGACTGTAGTACCCTCCCAGCAATGCATTCCTGGGCTTTTGCATCAGTCCATCAACACAGAGTGTCCTTAGCAGAGACACCAGGCTTTCCCCTCCACCCTCAGATTTTGTTTTGGCTTCTTTTTTAGATTCTCCAAATTTAGTTTTTGAGGATTAATTCTGACAGCTTTTCCCCCCAAACACTTTCTTAGCACCCATACATACACACATGCACACACACACACAAAAAAAAAATAGAAGGAAAGAAAAGAAAAAAGATTAAGTAAAAAAAGCAAGCGAATTTCCTTTATAATCACGAACATAGGGCCCATGTGCAGCAAATGATCTCTGTTAAATATTTTATTCTCCTGAAAGAGAGAATTTAAGTGTCTACTGTTCAAGCTTCGGTTTGGTGTTTTTGCTTTCTAGTGCTTTTATTTTATAGTCTAGAAAATCATTTATCCCAGAAGAGGAAAATCATAGAAGATGTGTAATAAGAACATTTATAAATGTAAAATTCTTTGCCTAAAGTTCAATTTGACTAAATTACTTACATTTTTTACTGAGAAAAAATAAATGGACATATAAAAAGTTATTTATTGCCTTAAGAAACCCTACAATTTTGCAATCAGTTGTATATTTATGTAATCTACTCTAGGGATCTCAACATGTGGTAAAGTTGTCAAGATTAGTGTATGTGTGGTCTTGGCCCGATGAATAGGCTAAAACAGATAAATGCTAAAATTTACTTGGACTGAAAATCATCACATTAGTTGGATTATTTGCTCCTTGAAGGATTTTGTGGCATTGTTCAAAAACTTAAAATACAAATTCATATATTTATATAAATGTAAATATGTGGCACACAAATACTTATGCTGGGCTAACTGAATATTACTACTTTTAATTTACTTCTAACATTATTATATGAGAATTACTATATTTATTATAAATGAATTAAAAAAATCCCATGATGAATCTAAAAACAACTGAGTTAATTAACATTACTGTTTTAGATAAGGAAAGACTTATCATAATTTTTCATCTTCCTTTTTTATGTTGTCAGTATTTTAATATGTTATTCTTATGTTTTTAGTTACTGATAAACATCAATTCAAACCAGAACAGATGTTGTATAGATTTCGTTATGATGATGGAACATTTTATCCAAGAAATGAGATGCAGGATGTTATTTCAAAGGTAAATATAATGTTTTATCAAGAACAGAATTCATATTGTCACATTTCAGCTTGTTAAAAAGCTATTAAGAGACTTAACATTCTTCCGGTATCAGAGATTCTTAAAAGATATACAAAGCAAGCCTTTATTCCTTCTTGCTGTTTGAATGATTCTAATATTAGACCATTCATTCTCTTATCTAGTGCTAACTAGCATTAAGTAATTACATCACTCAGAATGTCATATCCATTGAAAACTATTCAAATGTAGCAACATGTGGTCATGATCCTTGAATACACAAAAGATAACAAAGTACATAAAATGTAATGCCAGTTTCTTTGTATGTGTATCAAATTTCATATTGATATATAAATAATCATGTACTTATTACTGTGCAGATTTACTTTTATTTAAACTGTATCTTGAAGTATTGTATTTTCATAAAATGTAAAATGTCATATATTTGTGTGATAGGCATACAACAAATTCATTGCACAATCATATTTTTATGATATATTTTAAAATTTGAAAGACTTTCAAGTTGGTTGAGATTGTGATGCTTTCAGAATATTGGCAGTGAATTTATTAAAATTTTTCTGTGTGAACACAACTATTTATTGGCATATCTGTTTTACAACAGGGTGTAAGACTATATTGCCGTCTTCATAGTCTATTTACTCCAGTCATAAGGTAAGTCTCATTTCTAAGCTGTGAGAAAGTTAAATGGTCATATTTAAATTGCACACTGGGTAGATATTATTTAATGTAACTTTTTATATTATGTTTTCTTTTCCAAAGTAGAAAATTTTACTTTATTATTTATTTATTTGGTCTTTGGGCCACACCCACACATCAATACTCAGGGGTTACTTCTGGCTCTGTACTAAGGAAGTATTCCTGTTGATGCTTGGGGGACCATATGGGATGCTGGGGATTGAATCCAGGCTGTCCATGTGCAAGGCAAGCACTTTACCCACTGTTTTATTTCTATGGCTCACCAGAGTTTTACTTTTAATGGTTAATTTTAAGTAATGATCTATTTTTAAATGTAACTTTTCCACTCTTTTTATTCTTACTTAAAAGTTATTTGCCATTAAGTTTAAGTAAATATGGAACTAATAACAAAAACATTTACATTAAATGGATGATTTAATAAATATAGGTGATTTTAAGGATATTTATAAATACTGTTTTTAATAATAATTTACCATTGTGATGTATGTATTTTTCACTAATATATTATGTAATGTATTTTAAATTATTTTGTTTAATCAGAACATGGAGGATGTTCACAGTATTTTTTTCTAAGAAATCTTTTTTGTCTGAGGAAAATATTTTGTACATGAAAATAAAGATTACTTTTGAATAATATTTAAATTTTATGCATAAAATATTTTCTTACAAAGCCATAGATATTATATTTTTAAAAGAGGAATCACATTCATTTATAGTTTATTTATTTACAAAGCACAAGTCTTTGAATTTTATGTTATGATTAATCTTCAGGAATATAGACTGGATTCTATGTTACAGAACAGGAAATGGATAAATATTGTTTTAATCTTGGCTGTAGAATCCAGATGTTAGATATCCAATGTTTCTGTTCTTTTATTTTGGTGTCCAGCTCCAAGGAAATGCAGAGTTTAAAAAGGAAGTGTTTTTCTAGACTCTAGCATTTCATAGAGAATGCACTGCAGGTGTGCAGATACTGGAGGGGGGAACTGGCTCTGACCCATTATTCCTGGAAGTCCTGTGTCCCTTTCATATGCCGACATCACAGATAGAAAGAGGTCAAGGCAAAACAGTCCTTGTTGATGCTGTTTTAGTCCTGGCACAAACCCCAGCACATATTTTGGATTACTTAATGCCAAAAGATGGTTACTTAACACAATAACAAATGAGTACTTAGTTTTTTAAAATTTTGCAATTTGCTATTTTTATGTCATTTGTGTATATGTACATGGTGGGTGGAGTGGACCACACTCAGTGATGCTTTTTGGAGCTACTCCTGGTTCTGTGCCATGGTCACTTTTCTCCTTGGGCTACTCAGTGGGACTGTACAGTGCTGGGGTTTGAACTGGGATGAATCATACAGAAGGCAAGTAACATGACTTCTGTGTTATCTATCTGGCCCTGTACATTTTTCATATCTGAGAGATGTGTTCTGAAAATATAGTTTATCTATATGACATTTTTTTTCAAGAAACTTATATTCTATAAGGATTGATAAGAAGAAATTATTCATTGACAAGAAATTATAACTTTTATGAGTTGTTGAAGGAAATTTTATGGAAAACAAGTCATAAATGAGATAGAATGTATGATATTTGTACTTTTAATATATCTAAATTCAGCTTTTGGAAAGAAAATTACTAGGGTGAAGAACCCACAAAACCGCTTGTAGTGTCTGATAAGCCATCCTCTTCCTTCTTATTATTGCTCATATTGCAAGATGAAATATGTGAGGAGATATCAGAAACATGGAAATATTGTTTTTAAAGATTTTGAAAAACTTGTTAATCATTGGCTAAACTGATTCATAGTATTTTGGAACTTTTGCAAATTTCAGATGTACTTTGGGAAACTTTTTAACGAAAGTTGATAAAATAATATAGATAGTAATTGCAAAGTACTGACAGAGACTAAAGAAAAATGAATATAGCTAGTAATTATCACTTCAAGGGATTTGTAGTTTTGAAATTCTAGTGTTTTGAAAAGACTGTCATTTTCTCATTCCCTTTGACCTAAGCCTGCAAAATAAATTAATTAAACATCTGCCCTTGGGGCACAGTTCTGATCATGAGCCTTTTGCTGGTATCTAACTTGACATTGAGTGATTTCTCAGATTTCGGAATTCCATTGAAAGAAAAGTCTGATGTGGAGAGCCAGTTGCTTCCCTTGGTTCCCCAGAGTGAGCTCTCACCGTGTCTGCGGTCTGATCAGACAAAGGGAATGACAGCTTCTCACCATCAACTTTGGTAGGCCACCAGGAATGCTCAGCCACTGTGGTTCCAACCTGCCTGGAGACTGAGGAGTGGAAATATAAAGAGCTATTTTATACTCCATATTTGGGAGGAGGTTTTTTTAGTAGAATCTTTTCAAATAGAAAAAAGTTTCATTGTAGTGTTCCTTTATTGCACTGTAACACTGTCGTCTCCTTGTTTATCGTTTTGCTCGAGTGGGCACCAGTAATATCTCCATTGTGAGACTTGTTGTTACTGTTTTTGGCATATCAAATACGCCACGGGGAGCTTGCCAGGCTCTGCCATGCGGGTGAAATACTCTCAGTAGCTTGCCAGGCTCTCCAAGAGGGGCAGAGGAATCAAACCCCGGTCGGCCACATGCGAGACAAACACCCTACCTGCTGTGATATTGCTCCATCCAATTATTCCTTAATTTTTAATTAATTCCTTTATTAGTGAAATATTTTATTTCTAATTTGTTACTAGATAATATTGCAGTAATAATTTATTTGAATTTGTGAAATACTGAATATTTGAAAATGTGAAAGAAGGAATGAAGACTTGAGCCAATGAATGGGGCCTTATGTAGTCTGCCTTGTAAACCTCTATTATGTACCTGTGGCTGGGATAGTCAAGTCAGGTTACATTGTATAAACTTTGCTGCTTCTGCACCTCTGCTAAATTACATATTTTCTTGTGCTCATTTACCCCCTAGCTTGATAGTTGTGCTTTCTTTTTCTTTTGTAGAGATAAAGATTACCATTTAAGGACGTACAAGTCTGTGGTCATGGCTAACAAACTGATAGACTGGTTAATTGCACAGGTAAATCAACAGTTTCTGAGTTAAAGTCATTACTGATTTAAACTTTGTAGATATGATTTAGGTACTAAAAAAACATCCCTAAGTGCATTGAGACAATGATACCAAAGGATGAAGTTTGTATTACTAGGAGGAAGTCAAATTTGACTTCAGAGTCTTCATACTTAACTTGGATGATGTTTCTATTTATAAATGGGAAAAGCTGTGAACAACAAAAAATACCTTAGTGTAATATTGTTTAACTCAGTGTTTACTTTATTCTATCAATGCAGAATTGAAATTTAAGGTTTAAGAAATAAGAGAAATGGTAGCCATAAATTTTAGTTACTTGGATAGCTTTGTATAAATAAAATATGATTTTTCTTGGAATACGATCTTTGTAAATTAATGATGGACACTGCTTTGGTTGTCACATGAAGTTTTATAACAGTTTGATGTGGACAATGTATGCCTTAATGTATGAATGGTTTTCATGGAAAATTTAGTAAAGATGCTAACCAAGCCTACAATTGTCTACTAACTTGTGCAGTACATTTGCTATTAACAGGGGGATTGCCGCACCAGAGAAGAGGCAATGATATTTGGCATTGGACTCTGTGACAATGGATTTATGCACCACGGTAGGAATTTTTATCTTGAGTGTCTCACTGTTTTGTTTTTGTTTGGACTCTGAATCTCCATGTTCCAATAAAGTCATTTAGAGTTGAACCATGGGTCCTGCCATGTATCCATGTTGGATTACCACATCTGTGTTCAATTTCATTGCTGGTGCCATTTCTTTGTCTAATTGCTATTATCTAAGAGTTGCCATGACTTGTATTTATATAGACAGTACTGATTTTAGGACAGAAAGGACTTGAGAAAGATGTTTAAAAATAGTTTATTTTTGAAACTATTTTTATCTTTAAAACTATTTTAGATCAATCTCATTTATAGAATGCCAGTATATATTAATGGTTAAGGGAGAAAATAAATTATTATTATTTTTGATCACTTTAAAAGATGCTTTCAAATTTATGTCAAAAAATAGGAATCTCTGAATGGAATCTTTTTTTTTTGGCTACCCGCTGAATATTAATTTCCATTCTTGTTTGATGACTTAAGTTCCTTAAATTAATTAAAGTTATTCCACTTAGTTTTCTCTTTATGCTCTTAACATGTTGTTGTCATAGATACAAACTATCTCTTTTCAGTTTCAAAATATAAAATACATATATGATGTGTAGCTGAGTCAGGTTCCATACTCATCACCACATATGGTTCCCCAAGTCATGCCAGGGATAAGGTTCCTGAGCACAGAGCCATGACTAAGGGCAGAGCCCCAGTGACGTAAGAATAGAGCCTTTGACCCACTATCTTCCCTCTGGTTAGTTACTTGATGGAATGAATTAACCTTTACCAACAGGTAGACTTCAAGGCATTATGAGTGACTAAACAAGAAAAAGAAATTTCAAACAAGTGAAGTCTGTAATCAAGGAATTTTAAGGATATTGGATAATTATATTAATATTCAGATAAAGGGGGGAAATGATCTCAGAGGAGATAAAGTTGTTTGGGACTAATGATTTTAGACAGAAAAGAACTAGCGTTTAGTGAAAATTAAAATTACATTTCACCCAGAAGATTTATTTCTGGTTTGAGTGTTGGAACAAAAGTGATTGCAGAGGGACTTGCTCAGCCATATAGCATTTTGAATTTTCTCATAATTGTACAAGACATTAAAAACATACTTAAAATTTTACTGCAGTTCAAGACAATGTGGTTTCTTATGTTTGTGAGTCAATATAAACATTTGTTTAAATTTGGATTTTAGTCTGAAAAGTGAAGATACGAGTAAAAAGTTTAAAAAGTTAAGATTAGAAAAATGTGCTCGTCTTATTACAGAAAAAAATAGGAAAATATTATGGGGATATGTTTTAATATAACTTCTTATTGCACTATAAATACAATTGAGGTTATAGAACAGGTACTAACTGAATGTCTGTGTGAAAAATGAATCTGATCTTTGCCTTGAATGAAATAATTTGAATCTCTCTGTTTCTTTAGTCCTTGAAAAAAGTGAATTTAAAGATGAACCTTTACTTTTCCGATTTTTTGCGGATGAGGAAATGGAAGGCTCAAATATGAAGCATCGACTTATGAAACATGATTTGAAAGTTGTGGAAAATGTTATAGCTAAGTCATTACTGGTAAGTTCATTAATATGTTACAAAGCTTTCTTCGTATTTTTTTTTCTTTTTGGGTCACACCCAGCGATGTGCAGGATTTATGCCTGGCTCATGCACTCAGGAATTACTCCTGGCGGTGCTCAGGGGATCATATGGGATGCTGGGAATCAAACCTGGATTGGCCGTGTGCAAGGCAAACGCCCTACCCACTGTGCTGTCACTCCAGTCCCCCACTTTATTTCTTTCTGACAAAGCTTTTTTCTTGATTAGATATTAGAAAATTTCATGAATGTGTTTAGTATATTGAATTTTCTTTGATTTGTAACTTTTTGCTTTATTAATAATATTATTTGCATTTCAGATTAAATCCAATGAAGGAAGCTATGGCTTTGGTTTAGAAGACAAAAACAAAGTGCCCATAATAAAGTTGGTTGAAAAGGGGTCTAATGCTGAGGTAATGTAAATTAGCATTTAAATTTAAATGCTTGCATGGATTGCAAATTTGAAGTTCTAAACAAATTTCAACCAGCCTTTTAGAATTTTCACTGAAAATAGATTCCAAAATTTCTTAATCTGCGGTTCTACCAAATATTGTCTGGTGTTTGGGTAGAGAAATTCAATATGGATATTGAGGGAAGGGTTGGGGAGGTGGTGTAGAGTTAAAGCTCTGACTTTTGGACCTTTTGTTTGAACAAGTGTCTCTGTGTTCCTAAACTAAAACTCTAAAATAGAGACTAGCACTGTAGCACTGACCTCCCATTGTTCATCAGTTTGCTCAAGTGGGCAGTAACGTCTCCATTGTGAGACTTGTTGTTACTGTGTTTGGCATATCGAATATGTCATGGGTAGTTTGCAGGGCTCTTCGAGAGGGGCGGAGGAATCGAACCCGGGTCAGCTGGGCCGGTCGCGTGTAAGGCAAACGCCCTACTGCTGTGCTATCGCTCTAGCCCAAATGGAGACTAACTTTTAGTTAAAAAAAATTCTAGCTTTTAGTGTAGGATTCAGTTATGTTATGCATGTCAGGTACTACTTCCATTAAATCAAGGGCTGTGTCCTCTGTTTTCTGATCACTTCTGCTTTTTGATCACTTCTAATCACTTTTATATAACTACAGCTTCCATCAATAAATTTTATGCTTGACTGTTTTCTTATTGGACTAGTGCTGATTCTCACCTCACCAACTTTTTAAACAAAAGAGTCTCCTGATCATTTATTTATTCATTCATTATGCCATATATCTTGCATATGGCAGGTAGTGTTCTTGGCTCTGCGAATATAGCAATGAACAAAGAAGGCAGTATTTGGCTTTCTGTAATCTATTTTCAACATTATTTTTCCCTGCATGTTAGATTGAAAGTTTATTCTCTTTCTGTGTGCCTTGTATCTCTTTCTGTGTGCCTTGTATAATGCTTGTTCCTCAAGCAAAATTCTTGATGTTTAAATCTTTAAGACAGAATCTGAGAATAAATAAAGTATGTCTTTTAGTTTTGAATCAATTTTAAGCTAGTAGTATATTGTTTCCATTATTCTGCTTGTTAGGGTCCAAGTTCTCTGTCTTTTGCCAAAATACAAAGCTTTAGTTATAGTGCATAAATATAAAAGTAACTTGTTGACTCATGCTTTGTCATTGGGCCTGGAGAGTAAATAACTTTATTCAGTGTGTTTTATGAGATGAAATTTTTCTGAAACATTGTCAGAGTACTGGAGCACAGATTTATGTGACTATGCTACTAATACAATGCCCTCGGCCAGATTTTCATCATGGTAGCTGGTAACCAGGACAGTAGATAGCCTATAGTCAGTAAGGTTGTCCAATAGGATCAATGTGGTTGGCATGGAGAATTATGTGTATCTTTCAAACCTTTTAGTGTTTTATGCATCGTGCTTATTGGAGCTCTCTCCCTTGAAGCTCAGATGATTCCACTTTTCTCTCCTGAAGAAACAAGGTCTGTTAAGCTAGGATGCATATTGGGTTGTTACTGATGTCTCTGAAATAATTTGATATTGCTTAGAAACTGTTCAAAATATTAACACAGTACTTCACAGCCGTTAAAAGGATGAAATCCTAAAAAGTGCCACTAAAGTAAAATAGTAAAAAAAGTTACATAAAGAAAGAATATGATGTTAAGCCAAGGAGGGGTGAGCTTGGCAGAGAATTTCAGTAATGATGGAGGATCAAATTGGAAACTAGGTCCAAGAGAATAATTGCTATTTCACACAAAATTTTATTTTGTGAAGTTCTATAAAACCATATTTGATGTGTTCATATGTGAAAATCTAATTTTATGAAAAATAGCATATATACGTATGCATGCATGCATACATACATACATACATATATATGTATAATCTTTTTTATTTTTCTCTTAGATGGCTGGCATGGAAGTTGGAAAAAAGATTTTTGCTATTAATGGTGACCTTGTTTTTATGAGACCTTTCAGTGAAGTGGATTGCTTTCTGAAATCATGCTTAAACAGCAGAAAACCACTAAGAGTTCTTGTGAGCACAAAACCAAGAGAGTAAGTTGTATGATTTATGTGGGATATTAAATTACACATGATTAAAATAGAAAAGTTGAGCTGGAGAGATAGCTCAGGAATTAAGTTGCTTGTCTAGCATGTAGCTGATCCTAGTTCAATCCCCAGAGCATGGCTCCCTGAGCATCACCAGGAATAATCCCTGGTGAGCCAGGAAAAAGTTCTAAACACTGCCAGGTGTGGCCCCAAAACTCCCCTTCCACCACAAAAAAGGTTAACTAAATACATAGCTAGAATTGAATGTCTTGTTGCCTGGGGACATTTTTACTTAACCAGCTTAATTAATGCTCATCTTTATATTACAGGAGAAGCTACATTGCTTATGATAAGAAAAAATGCTTAGTAGTAGAAATATTTTCCTTTTGATGGCCAAATTTCCTTAGTCTGTGCTATTTGGCAGAGGCAAAAACAATTCAAATAACAGGAATAAAATTTCTAATTTTGTTTGGCTTTAAGAATTTGGGGAAATGTCTATCAGTTGATTAGTCATTATAATTAAATATATAAAAATATAATCCAACCTGGGGACAAAATCCCCCATGCTTGTGTTTACTTCGTAATATAACTGTTCCTTTAAAAAGTGTCTTTCTACCTGTTATTAGATAAAATAAAAAGTAAAGTAAAGGCCCTCCCGTTGATCGTCGATTTGCTCGAGCGGGCCCAGTAACGTCTCCATTGGAGACTTTGTTGTTACTGTGTCTGGCATATCGAATACTCTCGGTAGCTTGCCGGGCTCTCAATTCTTGTTTATTAAAGACAAGTTGGAGAGAATATTTTTCTAAAGGAAGGCATTTTTCTCTTAATAATATGTCATTCTGAGGCGTTCAGTCATAATCCCACAGATGGTAGCTTCGCCCCATTGGCTCCTCAATCAAGCACATACACCAATGTTGAAGGCCAGAGCGATAGCACAGCGGTAGTGTGTTTGCCTTGCACACAGCCAACATGGCCGACCCGAGTTCGATTCCTCCTCCCCTTTCGGAGAGCCCGGCAAGCTACCGAGAGTATCTCACCCGCACGGCAGAGCCTGGCAAGCTACCCGTGATGTACTGATATGCCAAACACAGTAACAACAAAGACTCCAATGGAGACGTTACTGGGCCCGCTCGAGCAAATCGATGAACAACGGGAGGACCGTGACCGAATATGTCATGCTAAAAAATAATATGTCATGCTAACTGTTACTATTTTTCTTGAAATTTAGTGTTAGGTGATTTGTCTATGTTCTGACAAATATTTTAAGGATAAAGTTATAAAATAGAATTATGCTTTTATGATACATTTGTTTTTCTTTTTAAGTTAATAGCATATTATCATCATACATTGGATTTCTTACTCAAATAACTATTATTGATGCTTGAGTGTTCCTTAATTATGTTTCCCATAATGGTTTAAACAATAAATTAATATAATACATTTAAAATGGTTGGCATAATGTCTCTCTGAATTGTGCTTATACCGAAATCACTGTTTAAAATTTACTTGATGTATTTAGCAAGTGCTGAGTAATTCATTCCTTTAAAGATAAATGAGGATTACTTCTTCAAAAATATTAAAATCATTGTTATAACTACTTATGAAACTCTTCTAAGTATATATAGTATAGTTTACTTTCCCACTCTTTTTTATTTATTTAGCACTAGCTGATACATTATTTATCTTCAAAGTGCAGTGCGTGGGGCTAGATTCTCCCATTCTAAGTCTCTTCACAGCAATGTATGTCTTCAAGGTAGATGCTTTAAAGCCTACAGCAGCTTTCCAAGTGATGTGAAAAAATGAAGGTGAATCATTAAAGTTACTAATTTATGAAGTCTTTGGGCTCAAGAGAAACAAATAACCATAGCAATGTCTTCTCTCTAAAGCTAATTATGATCTGTGACTCCCTGCTTTTCAGTGCTACCTAGGTAACTAACCTAGTTATTCACGATCACGACCCTCCTGTTATTCATCGATTGCCTCGAGCAGGCCCCAGTAACGTCTCCTTCATCCTAGCCCTGAGATTTTTTAAAAGGTGCCAACTAACCTAGTTGTCCTCTTAAAAATACTTTCATAGCTTTTCATTTTTTAAAGCTTATGCTTTTATTTTACTATTACTTGGGGGGGGGGGGGTCTCCCAAGTGATTTTTCGGTACCAGGTCTTCCCTGATGATTCTCAGCCCACATTGGCCTGTATGTGAAGCCCCAGGATGCTTTGTGGGTTGGCCCAGTGGTGATGGGCATTTATGAGACTGGGAACTTATTAGACCAGGATACTCCTGGGCCTTTAGCATCAGATCTCATGGGCTAATGTGGTCTTGGGGATTGAACTGGAGCCTGCTGAATGCATGTCATGTACCTTAACTCTTGTTATTTCTTTCCGACTTCCTTTGGTGATTTTTAAAAGAACAGGAGAGTCTGGGTAAGGGCCTATACTAATTAGTAAACATAGCAGTCTTCCTCGTGGGCACTTAATTTAGCCCTATAAGAAATGGTTGATTGATAAAAAAAACATTTTAAGCATTAGAAGACTTTCTAAGTACCAACTGAAACACACACATACACACACACACACACACACACACACACACACACACACACATCTTGATCGGGAGAAATCCTCAGTTCTAGATTTGGTTGCTAGATGAGCAGGGTTTGCCTGATGTTGCACTTTACCTGGAACCTGCATTTTAGGATCAGGTTCAATCCTCTTTCCTACCCTTGCTAATTGATTGTCACTTCAACATCCTCCTCCCTAACATGAGGGTGATAAAAATTTCTATGTCATGGGCTGTTACGAACTTTTGATCTGTCTTAGCTCTTAAAGAGCACAGTGATTTCTTCAACACATTCATAGTACATCTTCCAGTGATGTTAGCTATGATGCTTATCTATTCTCTCATTTTATTTTGTTTTTTTTTCCTTTTTTTTTCTTTTACATCTGAAACTGCTCTCGTTGTTCATCAATTTGCTTGAGCGGGCACCAGTAATGTTTAAAAATTGTGTTTTGGATGGCATACTCATTTTTTCTCCTTTTAAATTTATTTCTAACCTTTCTTTTTCTATTTTGTTTTTGACTTCCATATAGCAGTGCTTGAAGGCTGTTTTCAGCTCAGAGCTTAGGTGTAATTCTCTGCCATATTCAAGACAACATGTGGTACTGGGGAATCAAACTGGGGTTTCTCCATGTGAAAAATTCACTCCTGCCTATTGCATTATTCCCCCAGTCCTCATTATTTTATGTCTTTATTCTAATGCATGATTCCCTGAGTCACTCACATTTTTTTACAACTGATAATTCTAATTCAGTCACCTCCTTTCTGGAGAGTAAGTAAAGATAAAAAACTGAGAAGTAAATAGAACAGAATTTTTCTTCTTGTTCTAGATGGATTTTACACTTGATGTCTCCATGGGATTTTTCAAAGGCTGTTGTAATAGATAATTTTGTGTAATTCTTTTTTAAAATGAAATAGGACATTTTTCTTGTATAAATATAATTTTACCTCTTGTAGATAATATTGTGTTACCACAGTGAAAGAGAATACTTGAATATTGCTTTTTTCAAGGAGTATCAACATTTTGACTAAAGTTCATACTATGATATTTTGTAAAATTTTGTTTTAAAAAATATAGTAACTGTGAAGAATAGAGTAGGGCCAACTTATATAACAATATTAAAAGAATAGAAAGATTTTACTCGGGAATAGTTGAGAGACCACACTGAATTCTTTACCATTCCAAAACACTGCTGGACACTGGTGGAGGGATGGGTATATGATCATTGTATAACTGAAACCCAAGTACAAAAATTTGTAAGTCTACAATTGTACCTTATGGTGTTTCACTAATAAAAATTAAAAAAAAAATAAAGAAAAAGAAAAAAAACCAAAACACTGGTGGAAGGATGGGTGTTCTGTCATTGTATGACTGAAACGCAAACATGAAAGTTATGTAACCGTATTTCACGGTGATTCAATTTAAAGAATAAAAAAAAACAGTAACAAAAATTATTCTCTGTGGCCTGAAAAGTTCTGTTATTTCAGCAAGTGAACTTTTCATAGTACATAGAAACATGAGCTACCCTTACTGTGGCTTGATCATCAGAAAGTTTGTTTACGCCCTTTTCTTTTCCCTAATCCATTATCTTCCATTTTCTTTTTTAACTTTGAAAAAATTATCAACGGGATTAATCAAGTGCTATATTTTGCTGTTGTTTCAGGTCTTAAGTGTTCCGACACCAATCCTCCCAGCTGTGTGACCTGTCCTCCACCAGTATCCCAGTTTCCCAGACACTCCCTCGATCTGCCCCTTTGCACACACAAATAGATTTACTTTATATTGTTTATTACAACACAAAGACAAACGGAATTATCTCACAATGATATTACTTTAGTCATTTTCTGAGACTCTACTGTTTTGATTGGTGCTAGACGAGACTTCTGGGTAACTGTTTTGGCTCATTGACCTCCATGCAACTCTCCCATAAGGTTTTCTGTGGTCCTGCTGGGCTGACAGTACTATGAAACTTTTAGATGTCATAGTTCAGGGGCCATGGATCTGGAACAATTTGGTGGCTTGGCAGTTTGATGAAGTGCAGTTGTGTCGTTGTGCTGTTCCATGTTGGAGGGTGTCAGGTGTGGCTGTGAGCTCCTGTGCCTTCAGGCAGAACGGAGAGAATCTGCTGCAGTCCCCTCCCACATTTGGAGAAGGCCCCAGACTTTTCATGCTGGACCATCATATTCTTTGGAGACCTGCGCTGGACTCTTTCTTTCTTTCTTTCTTTCTTTCTTTCTTTCTTTCTTTCTTTCTTTCTTTCTTTTCTTTCTTTCTCTTGTTATTTTACTTTTTGGGTCACACCCGGCGATGCTCAGGGGTTACTCCTGGTTCTGCACTCAGGAATCACTCCCTGTGGTGCTCAGGGGACCACATGGGATGCTGGGAATCGATCCCAGGTCGGCCGTATGCAAGGCAAACGCCCTGCCCACTGTGCTATCGCTCCAGCCTGCGCTAGACCGTTTCTCTGTGGGCAAGATCGATCTTCTATTTTCAAGTGTTTCTCTGGCAGGCCCTTGGAGCAGGGTGTTATTCAAATGAAGCGTTTACAATCTTGTATGCAAATATTTAATTAAAATGCATATTAAATTTGTTCTGTGCTCTCCCACCAATATCCAGATCACTTTGTACTATATAGCCTAATTTATAGTATCACTGTATCACTATTCTCCCGTTGTTCATCGATTTGCTCGAGCGGGCCCAGTATCATTGTGAGATTTGTTACTGTGTTTCGCATATCGAATATGTCACTGGTAGCTAGCCAGGCTTTGCCCTGAAGGCAAGATACTCTCGGTGCTTGCCAGGCTCTCTGAGAGGGGCAGAGGAATGGAACTCGGGTCGGCCATGTTGCAAGGCAAACGCCCTACCCGCTGTGCTATTGCTCCAGCCCCATAAAGAAAGAATTAATCAATATTAAGTGTGAGACACAGCACTTGTTTTGTAATGAGTACTCATTGTTGGACGTGTGCAAGGCCCTACCTGCTGTGCTATCGCTCCAGCCCAATTTATAGTAATACTTTGAAATTTCCCCTAAACAGACCATTTGTATTTCTATCACAAATCTGCCTGTGCATATTTTAGAAGATTATAGTACCAACCTCTATCTTCAGATCATTAATTCGTTGTGTTGCTTGTTGCTTTCTCTTTTTCTTTTTCTTTCTTTTTTTTTTTTGTGGGGCAGGGGGGATGTGGGTTTTGGGCCACACCTGGCGATGCTCAAGGGGTTACTTCTGACTCTGCACTCAGAAATTACTCCTGGTGCTCAGGGGACCATATGGGATGCTGGGGATCAAACCAGGATCTGCTCTGTCCAAGGCAAATGCCTTACCCATTATATTATTGCTTTGCCCCCCACATTGTGTTGCTTTATCAAGTTTTCTAAACACTGTGTTGCTCAAATTACTCTCAAAGCATTTTCACTGACTGCAAATAAATGCTTCTGTACCTGACTTTAGACTCTAACATGCCCTTGAAGAGTTACTGACATTTATTTTATGATTAATTCATCTTCTTCTGAAAACACTTTTGTTTCTCGGGCATCTAAAGCAATCCATCAAAATTTATTGCATTGTATTCATTTGTCTTTGCTCTCTAGTGCAGTTTATTATACTCATTTTTATTGTTATGATGTCTGTTTTATCTTGTGTTATCTGCTTTTCATGTTACCATCTGATTTTTGGCTTATTTCTGTGGAGTGGCTCATTTATTAGGGCTAAACCATCCTTCCCTGGTTTGCCGTGACAATTTACTCAAGTTCTTCATCTCTTTATCATTTTTCTCCAATGAATTCATTGGAAATATGTTTTCTTATTCAGGTTTACTTTTTGATCTGTTATTGCTTTTAAATTTTGTTTGGATGAACACTAAATTTCTTTGCATTCTTAAATTATTTTGATGTTATGTTTGACAGACCTCTTCTTTTCTCTGCTGTTCTTTGATGAAGTTCCCGCCATGTAGAAAGGTGCTCTGTATTTCTTTTGTATTAACTTTTACATGTAAATTTCACAGTGCATTAATGTCTTCTTTATAGCACTAAAGAGTAAAACTTCCATTTTAATTACCTACATAACTCTCTGTAAAAATTTACCTAAATTGTTTTTCATTTCCACTAAAATCGTACCAAGTAAGTTTTGAAAACTCAGGTTCAAAGAAGTGAAGGAACTCTTCTAAGGTATCCAAATACGAAGTGACTAAATGAGGAGTCCGTGTGAGGTTTGTCTGTCTCCTGAGTCTCTTTCTTACTGAAGAGGTAGAGTGTAGAGTTTGTGTTAAACTGTTGGAGGCCTCTGTGGATCTCACTGCACAGGTCAATAGCCAGTGTTTCATGTGGCAGATTGTCCCTATGTGTCAACTGAAATAAGAGAATAAAAATGTGAACAGCTGCTATCAAATTGTCCAGCCTTAGAAATAACATTTGGAATTTGGCATTTGGCATTTGGAATTCATCTCATCTTCTTTTTTGCTTAATTTCAGGACAGTGAAAATCCCAGACTCGGCAGAGGGACTTGGATTCCAGATCCGAGGATATGGCCCATCAGTGGTACACGCAGTGGGCAGAGGTGAGGTAATCACCCTGGGGAGTGAACCACTTTCCGAGATGTTCCAGATGCTGGTTGCTGAGCAAGAGTTTGTTAAAAATGGGCACGATTATCTTGTTATGAATTTTAGCAAGTATACCTGATTATATGTTTCAAGGATTTTGCACTCCTAAAAACTATTTTTAAACACCCTTAAAATTGTAAGGCATATTTATCATTTTTAAAAATTTTACTGGAGAATGACATTTCCCTATTTTACCTTTTGGCTATTTGTCACTGACAGCAAATAATTCAGATGTGTTTTTAGGTCCAGGGAGTGTCCTTAGAGCTTTTTAACTGATTTTCAAGGATGGTCATTTACCAGGCCTCCTATAAACCCTAAAACGCATTTTTGCTAAGTAATTTTATTAAGTAAAAATATGTGTGTGCATATGTGTATGTAGTTTGCTTGTTTTGGGGATGATACCCAGTGGTACTCAGGGCTTATTTCTGGCTTTGCATTCGGGGATCACTCCTTGTGGGGGTCTCAGGGAGTCATATGGGATGCTGGGGGTTGAACTCAGATCAGCTACATTCAAGGCAAGTCCCCGCCCACTGTACTATCTCTCTGGCTCTGCGATTGGGGTTGTTTCAGGTGGTGCTTGAGCATCTTTGTGGTATCAGGGATCAAATCGGGCACCTTAACCCTTCTACTATCTACCTGACTCATGCATTACCTTTATTTAAATGACTCAAAATCCCAGTCACAGAATCCTAAGGCGTGTGCATGATCCTGTGTTTTCAGTCTTTTCATAAACTCTGCTTTCGCAGAGTGGTTCTTTCAGCTCATGTGTGTGTATGTGGGGGGAGGGGGTGTATGTATATGTGTATATATATAATGTATATATACATACATACTTATATATACTTTTACTTGCACTGCACTGTCCTCCCATTGTTCATTGATTTGCTCAAGCGGGCACCAACAACGTCTCACAACAAATTGTGAGGCTTGTTGTTACTGTTTTCAGCATATTGAATATGTCACGGGGAGCTTGCCAGGATTTGCCATGCGGGCAAGATATTCTCGGTAGCTTGCCGGGTTTGCCAAGAGGAGCCGAGGAATCGAACCTAGCTTGGCCGTGTGCAAGGCAAATGCCTTACCCACTTTGCTATCTCTCCAGCCCATATAATTTTACTTATACATTTTAAATTTAGTGCTAAAGAGATAATCGGGAGTAAGATACTTCTTCCCTTGAGTGTGGCCAATGTGGTTCAATCCCAACATCACATTTGGTTACCAAGGTACTGGCAGTGGTCATTTCTGAGCACAGAGCAGAACTATAGCCAGAACATGACCTGGCATGTTGTCGGAAATTTTGCAAAAAGAAAAATTTAAAAAATAGCATGCCAGTAATCTCCCAAGCTGTATTCAGGGGGGGTTGAGGCATTGTCCCTGGTGAACAGGGTCCATGGTTCAATGTTAGGGCTCAAGAAAGTGTAGTTGCTTTATCCCTATGTTGACAAGGATTATCTGGGTCACCCAGGGGGGATGGGTGACCTTCAGAGATACACCCAGCATTGAATTGTCGTTGATCTCATGTAAGGCATAGACCTTAACCCCTGCAGTATTTCTCTGACCCATATATCTCCATCTCCACCTATGTCTATCTCTATTTATATCTATGCCTATACCTATATGTGTATCTATATCATATGTATCTATGTCTGTGTCTGTAGCATCTCTATCTTTAACTCTCACCCAGTTTAAGCTCATACCGATGTAACAGCTATGTGTTCCTGAGACCCTGGGTATTTTTCTGTTACTTTTCTCTGCTGAGAAAGTTTCTCTGTTCCCAATTTAAAAAAAAAATTCTGATTTTTTTTTCTTTTTGGGTCACACCAAGCAATGCTCAGGGGTTATTCCTGGTTCTGCACTCAGGAATTACTCCTGGCAGTGCTTGGGGGACCATATGATATGCCAGAAATTGAACCTCGATGGGTCCCGTGCAAGGCAAACGCCCCTACACACTGTACTATCTCTTAAGTCACCTGATTTTTTTTTTTGGAAATGAGTTTCAGGAAGAAATTTATATATGTATATTTATATTTTTTCCTTAAATATAAATTATATCTCTCAAGATGTTTAATGAGATTTGTGCATGCATGTGGCTCACATTTGTGGAGCCCTGGGTTCAAACCTGGGCACTGTCCTCTTCCCATCCACCCATAAATACATTTGGTAATTTATTTATAGGAGAAATTTCTTACAAAGGAAGGCTATTTTGGGCCTGAGCAATAGTACAGCAGATAGAGTACTTGCCTCACATGCAGCTGACAGGGGTTGTCCTGGCATCCCATATGGTGCTCCAGGTACCACCAGAAATGATTCCTTATTGCAGAGTCAGGAGAAACACATGAGCCTTACTGAAACTGGCCCCCAAACAAATAAAAAAAGGAAGGACTTTTTAACATACTTGGGTTTTGTTGTCATTTGTAATCATTGTATTTTTTCAAAGATTTTTTTATAAGTGTTTATTTGCTCAGAATATTGAATAACAATGTTTAGAAGATTTGAAAATCTTATTTCATTGGTATTACTTCATATGATTAATTTATACTTAATATGGCAAGTTAACATATAAGTTAACATAAATTATAAACATAGAACTTAGTTATAAAAATATATTTATAACTGTATTTTGAGAAAGCAATATATTTTGTATGATTTAAATCTGTTCTGAACAGTTGTTTCTTTCATGAATGTAACTAGAACCAATACTTGTTTTTAGCTTGTTCTGTCTACTTGTAGTTGTTAATAGATTAAATCGTTTTCCTTAAGAATTTCTTTTAATTGGAGTCATTACAAAAGTCAATGTGGATATTATTTTAATATTTGGCAACTAAAGGAAAATCAAGCTCTCATTTTCTGGCTTTCATTTTGACTTTATAGAGGCATAGTTAGGAAATTAGATTGACTAGGCATTTGAAAGGGAAAATAACTGATTAGCATCATAAAGGTCACTTACAGTGTTCCTTCAAATGGATTCTCATGGGGGATGGAAAAGATTTTGTTAATCACAATTTGAAAATTGTTTTCCTTACTGTGTATGTGATTAAAAAAATCTTTTCTTAATATTAGTTTTTGATCATTTTCTCACTTTTATTAAAGGGACCGTGGCTGCAGCAGCTGGTCTTCACCCTGGACAGTGTATTATTAAAGTGAATGGAATCAATGTCAGCAAAGAAACACATGCCAGTGTGATTGCTCATGTTACAGCGTGCAGGAAATACAGGCGACCAATGAAGGTGATTACCTTTCAACCTAAGTGACTCTGATTGCCCAGTTACCTGGAAGGCCTGAGAGACAAAATAGGAATACCAGGAATAGGAATAGGAATGAGGAAAATGCCAGGAATCTGTATGATTTTCTCCTCTAGTCTCATATTGAAATGCAGTGTTATAAATCCAATAATGACTATTTTATCTACATAAGTAATTGAAATTGGTTGTACTAAAGTGGCTACATTTTATGTTTGCATTATTTGCTATGTTTGAAAACTGCTGTAGGCTTTATCTATTTTCATTGTTACATACGTTTTGGAAAAACGTATAACAATCTGAAATCAAAGTTTCATTGGTGCATTTTTTGAACCCATGTTATTATATGTGTTCATCATGTATTATATCTGTATATTTGAATTTAAAATACACAGAGTTTATAAGCCATGTGGAAAAGAAGATGGTTTTATAGATTTGCATTTCCTTTTTGGATATATTTACTTGGGGTAATGAATTTAGATTTGCAAATATGACTTTTTGAATCTTTGTTTCTTTGTAGGCCAGGACTGATGTCCTACAAAATACTGAACTCACAAGAACAAAGTTGATTGATCTTACTTACAAATAGGGCAAGCTAGCGGAACAAACTGCAATTTACATATAGATCCATAGGTTATTCTAGTCAAAAGTAGTATAATCAATATTTGTTGAATTGTATTATTGATAGATTTTTTTAAAAAGTACATCAGTAATCATCAAATACCCCTTTCTAACAGAATATTAAAAGGTAATTAAATGAATTTGAATTTCTTTTCTTTTTCTTTTTCCTGAAAATTTTCTTATAGAAATATTGAGCAGTGCCTTGTTTAAAAAAAGCAACAAATGAACAGAAAGTTTTATTATGTGAATAAATGCTCTACCCATCCCACTAAGTAAACTGAATGTATTTGGTGGCGTAAAGCAGCATGATAGATTGTGACTATTCTCGTTGTTGACAGAGTGCCGGTTTCTGCAATGACATTGATGTATTGTGTTTTGCTGCGATCTGACTGGCACTTCAAATCCCCTGCAGGTGCCTCTCATTCCATCATCCTCCAGAGCCGCTGCACAGCACCTTCGTTTCCAATATATGTCTTTTTCATTCCACTTGGTATCTGGAGTTTAATAGGGAATATTATAAATGATTCACTGTCAACATCATGCCTGAGAAAATTCCTTTGGAAAAATACAATCACATGACCATAACCAGTGTCAGTGTGGGAAAAAACACCATAAAGGTGTGGTTAATGGAGGATATGGTTCCTTGACAACAAAGCAACTTACTGAGTGTAGTTTTGTTTTGTTTTTGCTATGATATGGGATCAGACTTAGGGCCTCACATATGTGTAGCATGTGCTTGACATGCCTGTGCTTTATAAATATGTACTTTGCACATATGTAAAACCTGTGCTTGACATCACTCTGCCGTAACCAAGATATATCTGAATAGCAAGCTGTTAACCAACATCATATTGTACTTTGGGGATGATTTCATCTATTTTTTAACAATTTATTTGTTATCTATTTGTATATGTTTATAGTGGTACCAATACTGGTGCTCCCATATTTAATAAGCATTTTATTGATTAAATGTTGTATAATTACTAAGCTCAACTGTGCATCAATAAAAAATGATCATGCATATTTTCTCTTACTTTAATAGTACATTTTGATTGACTTTATGTATAAAAATAATCTTAAATTGTGCAACCCAAAACATTTTTGGTAGCTATTTTATGTCTCTCATTTAATTTAACTGGGACTACTATCCTTAAGAATGATTTATAGAATGGAATATTAGAAGATATTTACATTGCTTAATAACTCATTGAGATGAACTTGTTCTTCCAACTTCTTATTGATTAATGAAGGCATGGAAATACTCATATATCTGTGATTGTGATTAGATTATATAAATTAAATTTGTAATTGATTTCAAAACTATAATTAAGGCATTTAAGTAAGACACTGATAAAAATGCTTTTAAGAAGTAAAAAAAATTGCTTTTCTTTGGAAGATTAAATTTCAGACTTAACAAAGCCACTTGGTTAGACAGCTTAATTACATTGACTTTTGATTCCTTTATGACTTTTGTTTTCTTTCTTTCAAGTTTACTTAATTAATTTTTGTTTCAGGGTCACTCCTCATTCTCAGGGATTACTCCCAGCTCTGTACTCAAGGATCATTCCTAGTGATCTGAAGGGACCATGTGGTGGGGGAATTAAATCTAGGTTATCAGATGCAAACCATGCATTCAGTCCATTGAGCAATCTCTCTGGCTCAGGTTTTAGTTTTAAAGAAACTAGAAGAACATATATATGATCAATTATCCTTATGCAATCTTATGAATGGACATATATTTTCAGAAGCACAAATAATTCTGAGTTTTCTGTCTCTCCTCATTTTTAGCAAGACTCCATTCAGTGGGTTTATAATAGCATTGAGAGTGCTCAAGAAGATCTTCAGAAGTCTAATTCAAAAACCCCAGGAGATGAAGCAGGTGATGCTTTTGATTGCAAAGTAGAAGGTAAGTTTCTTTTTTTAACCTCAATTTTTACTTATAATATTCTTTTTCAGTGTATTTGTGCCACATCTCAATGATGTGACAGTATCAAGTAGTTATCCCACTGTCCTAAATAATTATCACCAAACAGAAATTATGTCAGATGAATAATACAAGTCAAATGACAGCAAGAGTAAAAAGTATATTTTATTTATTTGTGAGAAGTACAACTAAACTAAATTTTAAGATGCTTCTTTGGTTAGAGTTGAAATGCTTCGAAATTCCTACTCCATGTTGCTCACAGACATTCGGCACCACTGTCTTCAGGGAATCGTATTTATTGGACTTTTAAAAGAAAATGTCAACTTTTTATAGTTGGGGTGAACAAATTTTTATTTTGCATCTGTCCAGTTTATTTGTTTTTAAACATTAGCCTATGGTAGTAATTCATGTAGAATAAAAGCATTTAAAAGAAAAAAAATGCACAAAATTTGAACTCTGTTCCACTCATCCTGAGTCTGAACCTCCTTAACAAGATCAGCTGTGCATGCACATAAAAATTCAAGAAGCCCTGTTTAGAAGATCTAGAGTGTCTTTGAAAATACTTTCTTCATTCAAACAACTTTTGTTTTAGTCTAATATCCAGAATAAATGCATATACTGACAGCAATAAAAGAGGCATATTAAAATTATGAAAATGAAACAAGAGGAAAAATACTTTGATCAGAGCTTATATATTTTTTTCAATGACCCACAGAAATACTTTATTCCATGGATTTTGTTGGTGTTTGTTTTGCTAATAAAAACCATCTTATTTGTATGTATTCATTATTGTATGTATTGCCAAACACTTTGAATTATTGTTTCTAAACTTCAGGGGTCTTTAAATACTTTGATATATTTCCCTACCACCATTTTTCCATTCATATTATTGGTGAAAATCCTTGGATGTTTCGGTTATATTATTTTGTTCCTCTTAACTGTTATATTATTTCTTGTTAGCTGGCACAGCAAGATAATTTTCCTACACACAAGTCAAATGACAGCAAGAGTAAAAAGTATGTTTTATTTATTTGTGAGAAGCACAACTAAACTAAATGGACAATATTAAAAATACTTCACCCATGTTTGAGTAGCAAGGTTAAGACACATTGACTCTTTTTTAAAATTTAAAATTGTTGAAACCTTATCCTGGGGCTTCTTGTTTTTCCTTCTTGTTCTGTTGGAGTTAATTTTTGTAATCATCATTCTCGCCACTATGAAAGAGAGTGGGTTTATGTGATACTCTGGAAATTGACATTTAGCTGTTTTGGAGTTTAGTTTTGATTACTTTTAGCTAAATCATTATTTTACTTTAGGCTATTTTATATTCTTTCCATTAGTCTAGTACTTCATGGTTTTAAAGAAATTAATATTCTATTTTTACTTGGAGATATAGCTCAACAGACTCAAGCACATGATTTGCATACAGGAAATGTGAATTTGGTCCTCAGCATTGCCTCAAGTAACCCTTCAGCACCAAGGGGGTAGTCAACCTTGCACATTTCAGGATGTGGCTCCCAAACAAAAATATGTATAATATAGATAATTTTCCATATTTTGCATATCCAAAGTATGTAAAATATGGATAATATTTATAGTACCGTGTAATGTTTTATTGGTACAAATAAGCATAGATATAACTTACAGGTCAAAATTATAAATGTAAGCGTGCAAAAGTAAGATTATACCTTATTTTAGTGTTGAGATTTGGATCACTTAGACAAGTTTGTAAAATCTGTAAAACAGGAACAGATATTTCATTAGTTCTACTTTGTAGAACTCTTTAAAAATTCAGCTATAGTGCTGGGAAGATAGTTCAAAGGTCTGGAGCACTGCCTGGTATGCATGATGCCCTGAATCTGATTCCTGGCGCTGGATTATCCTTCACCCATTAGTACTATCACAATATCCCTGGTGGCCCCAATCAGTTCCATGCTATTGGACTAATGAACCATCAAGCCTACGTAGCTGGGCTGAGTATTGCTTAGAGTGTCTCAAGGCCTCCCAAAACCACTAGGGTGTCACCCACCACCCAGAATTTTTGGTGGCAAGCTTAACTTACATGCTCAGATGTTGATTTACAATGAGATATACCTAAAGGTTAAAAATACACTGTGCTACTGTTATAGCCCAGTGTCATTTTAATAATTCTGAAGGACTCATCAATTTGCTGACCGAAAATTGTTTTTATTTCAGAGGTAATCGACAAGTTCAACACCATGGCCATCATTGATGGAAAGAAGGAGCACGTGAGTCTCACAGTGGATAACGTCCACCTGGAGTATGGTGTTGTGTATGAGTACGACAGCACAGCTGGGATAAAGTGCAATGTGGTGGAAAAGATGGTGGAACCCAAAGGTTTCTTCAGCCTCACTGCAAAGGTATGATGAATCTAGGGAAACCAACCTTTTCTTTTTGTAAGTAATTTCTGCCATTGTACACAAGGTAAATGAGTTGTATATATTGCCTCAGTCAGCTCACTCAAGTTTTTTCTTTATTTTTTTTCTTCCTTACTCAGTATGAGGGCTGGAGAGATAGTACAGTGGGTAGGGCATTTGCCTTGCACGCAGCCGACACCCGGGTCCAATTCTTCCTTCTCTCTCAGAGAGACCAGCAAGCTAACGAGAGTATCACACCCGCACGGCAGAACCTGGCAAGCTCCCCATGGCATATTTGATATGCCAGAAACAGTAACAAGTCTCACAATAAGACATTACTGGTGCCCGCTCGAGCAAATCGATGAACAATGGGATGACAGTGCTTCAGTGCTGCTCAGTATGAGCACATCCTTCCTTTTGCTTGAACTCTTTGGGAGCACTGTGTTGAGTTAAAAGGGTCATATTAGTTACTTAACAAAGGTTTTACTGGAAGAAATAGCTTCATCTCTTGGAATTCATAGTAATGAATGTCTTAGATGGCTCTCATGAAAGGTGATGCTTTTAAAAGTGTATTTAATTTTCTGAAGGGTATTTGAAATGGAAAAATTTATTATAACAAATGCCACATTCTACAAGTCCTTTGTTTATTTCATATAGGTTTTTCAAGCTGACAGAACAAATTCTGAACAGATTTTTAAACATTTATTTATTTCTTATTTGAGAAATACAACATCCTTAGTCCATATACTAAGATAGGGAAGAAGGGAATCTTTTTCTACATGAATAAATCTTGCAAAGAGGTGACCCCACACTTGCTTTTTATGTTTTTTCACAATGAAAATCAGTCAGATTCCCACAGGACCCTACTGTCTGAGCTTTCCTGCTTCATCGGCTTTTATATCTCAGTGAGAATTCAGATATTACAAGAAATATAAAACACATCTTCCCAACTCTCTTTAATTCAGTTCTTGTTTCCGTTATATATAATTGAGATAGATTTAGCATTTATAATATTTTAAAATATGTAGAGAAAAATAATAAATACATCCAAAGGTACTCTTTCAAAAATTATTTTGCTTTTTGTTTAATATACTGACATTGAAAAAAATTGTTCTGTTGACATTCTACAACTGTATTTATTGTTATAGAATCTATATGTGTTTTTTAAATACAACTGCTTCTCAAATGCATTATACTTTTAGGGGTGATCTGTGTAATATTTTAAGATCAGGTTATTGTAATTATTTTATATTTTAAAGTTATTTTATATTTGAATAATTGTAGTTAAGGAAATTAGGAAATTTAATATAAATCTCTTTGCCAATAATAATGTCAGCTGTCATTTCTAAGCTAGCAGATAAACAGGAAACTTGCACTCCACATTCAGTAAAACAGACCAGTGGTGATGGTAAGGGAAGAAAAAGATCATCTTATCTATGTACAGTGTTTGCATTGCTTACACAATAGGGTATGATCAATCTTTGTAATCTCTGAACCATCATAAATGCAAGATGCAAGCATGTATAATTCATTATAAGTTTACTAGACATTCTTAGTATATAATTAACATACATATTGCCTTAAAATTGATTCAGATGATCAAAAATTGGAGGCTAGAGAGATAATACAGTGGATAGGGTACTTGCCTTGCATGTGGCCAACTTGCATTCAATTCCCAGCACTTCCCATATAGCCCCTCAAGCCCCCTCAGGAGTGATCCCTGAGTGCAGAGCCAAGAAGTAATTCTAAGCACTGCCAGACAAACAAAACAAAACAAAATAAAATCACCAAGACCCTAAAACTACTTTTATCAAAAAAACTCAAGTACACAAGTAATATTGACTTTTATTTTAACAAGAGAAATTTCTGTTAATTCCTCATTGTCATCCTGTTGTTCATCGATTGCCTTGAGCAGGCCCCAGTAACGTCTCCTTCGTCCTAGCCCTGAGATTTTAAAAAGTGCCATATTCGAGGCTCTTTCTGGGTGAGAATGAGACACATCATTGTTACTGGTTTTTGGCATATTGAATACGCCATGGGGAGTTTGCCAGACTCTGCCGTGTGGGCAGGATACTTTTGGTAGCCTGCCAAAAGTTCTCCAGAGTAAGAATTAGATGGGAGCAGGGTTTTATAGTCTCTGTGTCTTGGCTGTTAATGGGATTACACGATGCCAGGGAAATTGGTGGGTGTAATGCCTACATACTGGAAGATGGGCATCTGGGTAGAGGAGGCCCCAGTCCCAATCCGAGGAGGCTTGGAGATCTACGCCCCGGGTCCTGCACACCGCAGATAATTCATATCCTGAGTAATCTTTTTTAAAATATATGTTGTGTACTGGATTTATGATAGTACATATAGTAGCACTGTAGCACTGTCCTCCCGTTGTTCATCGATTTGCTCGAGCGAGCCCAGTAACGTCTCTATTGTGAGACTTGTTGTTACCATGTTTGGCATATCAAATACCTCACGGGTAGCTTGCCAGGTTTTGCTGTGCTGGCGAGATAACACTCAGGAGCTGCCAGGCTCTCCGAGAAGGTTGGAGGAATTGAACGTGGCTCGGCCAGCCGGCTGGCTGCGCACAAGGCAAACGCCCTACCGCTGTGCTATCGCTCTAGCCCTGTATGTATAGTTAGAAAATATATATACTACTCCTTTGTTTAAATTTTGGTGGTTGTTCTACTACAAAATTGAGAAAGGAAAAAAAAGTTCCAACTAAAATATTGGTGATATGTTCCCACATCAGGGTTTCCGATGTGTCTGTCCTTTGGGGAGCCTTAGAAGTCCTCTTCCTCCCTTGGGCAGCTATTTAAGGCAGGCATAAGGCAAACATGGAGATACCAAACATCCAACTTCATCAGTACTCAGCCACTGTTTTCTTGAACAGAGAAATAGCTAATTCAGAAGAGAAGCATTCCGTGTAGTGACTTTACTGCATGGTGTGTAATTGTGAAGGTTTGGCTGGACTTATTCTGAAGATTCCATTTTCCTCTTTCTTTCGCATGTGTGTGTCTTTGTGTCTCACTCTAGATTCTCGAAGCGCTGGCTAAAAGTGATGATCATTTTGTTCAAAACTGCACCAGTCTTAACTCACTAAATGAAGTGATTCCTTCAGATCTTCAAAGTAAATTCAGTGCCATTTGCAGTGAAAAAGTGGAGCACATTTGTCAGAGAATATCCAGTTACAAAAAGGTAAATATTTTATGCATAGCTTTTATGGATACTTGCTATTTAAATTATTCTTTGAATGTCAGACAATTTATATTTTATTTATGTACTGGGTTGACAGTTTTATTAAAATAATGAAAATGCGTATTTAACATTTTAGAGTTTGGGTATGGTTTGTTTGTTTGTTTTGGCTTTTTGGTCACACCTGGTGGTGCTCAGGGCTATTCCTAGCTCTGTACTTAGGAGTGACTTCTGGCGGTGCTCTGGGGACCATACACGATGCCAGGGATTTAACCAGCATTGGCAGCATTGCAGGGCTAGTGCCTTCACCCTTTTACTATATCTCTACCCCCAACATTTAAGAGATTTTTAAATGTTTATATTTATTATTTGTTCTTTGCAAACTTGTGAGCTCTCATTTTTCTTATTTTCAACCTTTGTTCTTTTTATTTTTATTTTATAAGGTAGCTTACAATATTTGATTGCATTTAATATTCAAAACATCAATCCCACCACCATTACACCTTCCCACCACCATATTTTGGATGTTTCCATCTTGAACCCCAATCCCTGTCCTGAAGCAGAACTGAAATAATGTAATTTGTATTGTTTCTTAAAAAAATGCTGAAAATGCTACAAAAAGTATTCTTGGAGGAAATAGTGTGAAAATTGTTCTATTTCAATAGGGGCCATTAAGATCTTCTATACGAGATCACTAACATGTTGTTAAAGGTTAGGCCTTGTGTGCTTTTATATATATGTATATATATATATTTATATACACACATACCTGTGTATATATATACAGTATATATATATATATATATATATATATATATATATATTTCCCCCTAAGATTGGTTGCCTAGTAATTTGTTGTTGTTTTTTAATTTTTTAAAAAATTTTATTGAATCACTGTGAGATAGTTATAAGCTTTCATGTTTGGCTTACAATCACACAATGATCAAACACCCATTCCTCTACCAGTGCATGTTCCCCACCACCAATATCCCTGGTATACCCCTCCTTCCCACCCTCTCCCTGCCTCCATGCAGACATTACCTCTCAGTGTCTGTATTGCAAACTATAATGCCCAAAAGTAGAGAGAGAGCTCTCATTTTTCTACAGTTTCCACAAATAATAATAAAGTTCTTAACATTTAAATTTAATTCCCATAACACAGAAAACATCGAAATATTTATATGTGAGGTAACTATATACACTTTATATTTTTAGTATAGTTTCCAAAATTAACCCATAAATGCATGGATATATCTGAAAGTTTAAAAACCAAGGAATTTCAATATTGGAAGTGGATGAAGTGGTGGAGGGAGAAGAGGAATTATTTTTTACTCTAAGCTTAGAGTAAAAAATGTGTCTAGCTTCTTAAGTTGAATATTACTATCATCACTAATTTTTGGAGGGGCCGGGGGAGTTTGGGCCACGTCCAAAGGTACACTGGTTACTACTCCTGTCTCTGTGCTCAGGAATAACTGCTAGTGGTGCTTCAGAGACCATGTACAGTTCCATTGATCAAACCAGGTCAGCTATGTGGAAGACCTTAAACCCTGTACCTTCTTTCTGCTCCCTGTCACCCATTTTTTGAAAAAGTTGTTTGCATTCACTTGAGAAAAATGATGTTCAAGATCACTGTTTAATTCTAACATCTGTCATTATGATTTTACTTACTATGATTTTTGAGTTCATTTCCCCTATTTGAACTTAGAAAAGATTATGAATATCCCTGGTGGAAATAGGACAGAAGGGTTTGTTCGCTTCTTTGTTTGTTTTACTTTTCCCTTCTCTTTAAGATATGACAATGCTTTTAAAGCAAAAATAAAAGGCTGTAAACAAAATGCAAATTAGTACCTCCCACATCTGCTTTGAACATTTTGAAATGAGAGTCATTTATATAAGAACTAGGTCTATGTAAAATTCTGACTTTTAAACTTGTCACTATTTGCACCATTTTTTCTTTTGGATTCTCTAAGAAATAGGGTTTTTTTTTAAGTAAAATATACAATAAAACAATTAGGACCAGGTTTTATTTAAAAGAACATTGGCAACATCATATGTTATTCATAACCAGCAATAGAAAACAAATTGTCTGCGGTTGCCTTTTCAGCAGATCTGAGTGTTGGGGTAAAATCTCAAATAATAATGGTGGGTCTGGTGTCAAAATATTGAATGTGATCAAGTAGAGAGAGAGTAATGTGGAAATCATCTGCCCCACAGGTAGGGGGAGGGTGGGGGATGGGGGTATACTGGGGTTGTTGGGGGTGGAGAATGGGCACTGGTGAAAGTACGGGTGTTTCATTGTATGACCAAGACTTAGACCCGAAAGCTTTGTAATTATTTTATTCAATAAATAAAAATTATAAAAAATGAAAAAAAATAAATAAAAGGGCATTGGTTTAGAAAAAAACAAGATAACAGACTTTGGGGTCAGAGAGATAGTATAGGTTAAAGCACTGTCTTTGCTGCATTGCAGCTGAGGTCATGATTTAACACCTGACACCACATGTGGTCTCCTGAGCACCCACAGGAGTGTCCACTGAATATAGAGCCAGGTGTGTCCCCAGAGCACTACATTGTGTGGACCACCAAAACAAAAGATGTCACACGTTTAAACAAATTATAAAGATGATTTTTTACTTACATGGATGTTCAACCTGGTAAGATTTCATTAGACTGGAGTTTGACGTCTTTTTATTGTCTCTCCCTAGTCAAAGGAACTACAAAACTTCTAAGCCGAGCCCTTTTGGCAAGGGAAAAAAGAAGTGGAGAGTAATTAGAGTTGTTTTCTGAGGTTGTAACTGAGAAATTATTTACTGTTTATGTCCCTTTAGACAGTGATAGGGTATCTGAGAAATGAGAAATGTAGTTTCCAGCTGTGTGGCTATCTATCCACCAAAATCTCAAGGAATCTTACAGGTAAAAAAGGTAAAAAGGAAAAAGGAATGGATATTGGAGGAAGACTAGCAGTGCATTTATAGGAAATGCTCAGTTAGAATAGATAGTAGACAGAAAAGACCAGTTGGGGGAAATGGTCATCAGTAAACAGATCCCAAAAGTATTTTGTTGTGAACGTAGAATAACAGACTTGATCTTCAGCTTCCTGGTGGTTAGAATGAAGAGTATCAAACACTGCCTATTACATATTTATCAGTATCTTTGTGTGGAAACATATGAATTAAGAGAAATATAATTTTTCTTGCAACGAGTTCAAACAAAATCTCTCACACTTGGCCTCACTGAGATGATATCAAGAAATGCAGACTGATGCTCATAAATGTAAGAGAAATCAAATTTTTCAAAATGTGGCAGATATTTGTAATGCTCTTTAATAAAGGTTAATGGCGTAGGTCAAGACCTCAATTTTATGAAAACAAATTTGTTTTGGCATGAGTTAGGAGAACTAAGGGGAACAGTAAAATACATATTTTAATGTGGGTGATTGAGGTTTAAATCAGAATTACTTGCAGATGCTTGCTCTTTCGCTTTTTATTACTTTGAAATGAAAGTCAACATGCCTGAAATAAGTATCAATAATGCTGATCACTTCACTGGTTAGGAGGTACTATTTTGAATATTTTGAAGGTGCTGGCATCTTACGTCATGATCTTTTGGCAATGATGTCTAGTCTGAGTTAGAAGACAGCAAACAGTTGGTGGAATTCAGCCCTGGATGTCAAGCACTGTCAGATATGTTACATTTTACGCTTATTGTATTGTCTTACAACACAGTGCTGTGAGATAGACATCACGTATTTCATTGTTGAAGTGTCTGAAGTGCACTTCAAGTAATATGAATGGTCATATTACTTGTCCCAAGATAAACTGCTCAGGACTGCAGTAGAATTTGATCTCCCATATCATTGGTACAAGCCCTCCAGGTAGTTCTGAGTAAATGAAATACACTTCCCATTCACCAGTAACACTGATTTTTAACCTTGTATCACTCAGCTTATGCACTGAGTAATGTGATTCTGATAATACGCAAACTCAGATTTCTTTAAAGGAAAATTCATCGTGGACTAAATTGTCAGAAAAAGTTGCTATCAATTAGAAAACATTTATGAGAGTGAAGGGGAAGAGAGATGGAGGTTCAAGTCAAGAGGTTTCATAAGTGAAGGAAAAGTAGTAAAATGATACTGATCTTAGAGATGAAGTGTTGGCAAAGTCAAGATTAGAAAGGAGGAAGTGGGTCAAATTTTAAAACCTGACAACTTTTTCAGTGATATTTTGAAGTGGCATAATAATCATATTCGTTTCTAAGAAAATCACGTTGGCAGAAGTCTAATAAAAATGTTGATAGGAGATGAGTTAAAGTCAGGAGTTAGGAAGCTATCATTTCTACTTGCCGTGTTACAAATTGATAGTGTAGAAGCACTTTTGGATCAATTCTAGCTATGTGTAGCAAGGAAAAAAAACAGCTGCATCACAAATTGCTTATGGCAGATGAAGAAATTGTCATTCTTTGGTTTCTGATACAAATACGAATTGTGATATACTGGAGTGTAGGTTGGAGGGAAAATTGAAATACTGGAACAAGAGTTTTCTCCTAATTTTGGCTATTCTCAAAAATACCCAAGTGAATGTAAAGTTCCTTGAGTTTTGGGAGGAGTAACAACTGGGAACCTGGGAAACCCTTAGAGAAGTGTTGGACAGGCTAGTGGGACAGTGATTTTAAATGATAGAAACAATTATCATAGAATCGCAGAGAGCTCTTGTACTCACAACTTGTGTGCTGAATACTTTTTATCCTGCTTCTTTCTGAGAGAGATTAGGAGTTTCCTCAAGGGGATGGAGAAACTGCAGTAGGTGGAATGCTTGCCTTGCACACAGCCAACTTCAGTTTGATGTCCATCATGTCATATGTCTCCATCTGTGTAGGAACTACAGTGATTTCCTGCACTTAGAGCCAGGAGTAAGCCCTGAGAACTACTGAGTGTGCCTCTCCCCCGTTAAAATAATAATGCCCAATCAAAGAATTTTTTTAAGGTCACATAGCTGTCATAGAGC